TACGGTAAATGGCAGGACTGAGGAACACGACCATTCAATAAATTATTGTAATTATACATTCATACCGATTTGGAATTCTGATTCTATTTCTATGAAACAACGGTTGTTTTGAACGCATTATAAAATACATATATATATATATATATTATTAATAATATCCCTACTAATATTATAAATGCGAAAGTAACTCTGTCTGTCTGTCTGTTACGCTTTCACGCCTAAACTACTGAACTGATTTTAATGAAATTCTGTACAGAGATGGAGTCGACCTTAAGAAATAACATAGGATAGTTTTTATCCCAGACTTTTCAAAGCTAGTTTGCTATAATTTTCACTTTTGAAACACAATGGTACATTATGAACTGAATTTACGTATTTAATTCAGTATATAAAAAATATTGTGTTATATAAGTTCTTTATAAAATAATATTAAAATGTAACTCGAATGCTTTCGTTCCCAGGATCTTTTGATTGACAAAAAAAACTTATTTTAAACTCAGAATCACTAAAGAAACTAGTCTGTTTAAACTGTTTCTATAAAGTCATACTAGTGTACGCACGAATGAAGAATTTGTGGACAATCAGAGATTGTTCGCTTCCACGAGTTTACTGGTTCAACAAGTTATTTGTTTTGTACAAGATTGGGTAACGATTTTTCATCTTGTAAAATTGTGTCTACATTTTTGTTTTTAACTAGAGTAAAAAAACCAATTATTTTTAACGTAATAGAGAATTTATCCATTAAAAATTGTAATCATTTTTGACAGCCGTGAATATTTATAAATAAGTCTATCGAAATCTGCACAATCATGCTTACAAATTTTCAGTTATTAGTCATTAATTTGTAGCGAGTTAATAAAATTATTGATAGTGCTATTTTCATAGTTTAACAGAATTAAAATTATTAATAGTTTGACAGAACAAATTTTTCATAATTCATTGTCATATTTTCATAATATATGGATATATTTTACATGAAGAAGTAATACCATTTCTTAACTTTCTACTCCATCTAGATGTTACAATTGAGTAATAGGTAGGAAATGAAATTATCGAAACTGTGAGAAGTGATGTCAATTAACATTCAAAATGGAATGAAGAAGTCTGACAATTGAGGCAGGACGTTGTAAGTGGAAAAGGGTCTAATAAATATATAGCGTGACATTTAGTAGTACTTAAAGTTGGTGCCGTTAATAGATGCATCAGAATGCAGGGCAGCTGCTTAATATTCCTAATTAGAGTGGTCCGCTGTGATATTGTTGTAGTGTCATCAATCATTAATGGTCCTTCGATCTCTTTAAAACTGGTCCAAACCACTAAACGAACACGATTTGGGAGTAAAGAACGCTCGGGCACATTAGAAATTCACTCCTAGACACATTATAATTAAATCTTATTAGAAGATCTTTGTATTTTACACTACCAATTGTATGGATCATACTCGAACGTCTTTAACCTGTTATTACATGTAATTCCTTTACATAAGCTGAACGTCAGACACGCCCCGTCTTGATCGATGGACAGGGTCAACGTCTGGACAATACCCTAAATGATTTCAAAAATTCGTTTAATCACAGGAATAACCTCGTAACCGTAAGGAGGATATTACAAAACGATTTGCAAACTCATCGGTATTGCATTAACTTGTACGCTTTCGAAAATATTTCCGTTGGAAGAAAAAAAAAACAAATTATAGCCAGGGAATTGAATGTAGCACTGGTCTCACCGTTCAGTTATAATTCTTTCTCCGGCGCTTCAAAATCAAGTTAACAGTTGATACAACAAAGCGGATATCATGGTAACAACCTGATTCCGCAGACCAAAAACTACCGAATGTTGAACGTGGTAGGATCTAATTTCGTTAAGCAACAATATACAAAGTAAATATTGTTTATAGTCAATGAGTAATGGAATCTATTTTTGATCACACCAAGGTAGGTTTTTGTTTGTTCTGAGTGGTTTCATTCCAAATCGATTTATTCAAAGCGGACTGTTACTAAGTAAACACTTGGAGATGAAGTCTCGAATCGATTTCTATGAATGTTTATTTGAAGAATCTTCATGGTTTTTTGGCCAAGTTCATCTAAGTCCATTGATCCGAATCTTTCGATGACTTCAAGTGTTATATCATGCTCGGTAATTGTACTATTAAAAATAACATCTCTTCAAGTGTTGGTTTACCGTTCATACCTACAGCACAGTGATCCTCTTGTACTACGGATTTACAAGCAATCAGTGGTATCGTAAATGTATGTCATATAATTCACTGTAGGTGCATTTGAAATTAAAATTACTTTACGGCTAAATAAATACAGTAAATCCGATAAACCGGTAAAAGAGTGGTATATACTTATTAACAGTTAAGATTTAAAATGTGATGCCTTTATTGTTTAACTAAACGAGATACGAGCCAATCTATCAGGCAGGTGCAAGCTGCGCCCACGCAACTCTGATTGCCTGTTATCATGTTATTTGAAATTTAAATATTCCCGGTAAAAAGGAGACACTTTTAAAGCTTTTTATGTCACAGTTTTCTGTTTTAAGTGTGGCTATATAAATATTTATAAAAATTACTTACTTTAATTTAAGAAATAAAACATCTTTTAAGTTTGTTTCGAAGAATACCTAGGTTCATTTAAATATTTTTAACACAATATAAAATATTCATATTAAATCAGTTATAAAAAAATATTTATTTTTATAGTAAACAATCGTTACTATGAAATTAAATTTAAATTTTCTACATTTATGGCATATTTTTATTCGTACCCATATACCTATTAATAATGTTTTGTGTACAGTTACAATCGAGCTAGTGATATCTATTGCGTCAATTTAATAGTAAAGCAATATCTGTTATCCATAAGGTAAATCAGCATTCCTTATACAAGATTTTCTATAAACTAATTTCACCACGAGATTCCATGAAGATCTATGAAACCAATGTATTCCCACGAGCCAACTACCAGCTCCGCTAATAGTTTAGTAAAAACAAATAACTCATTAATTCTTCGCCTTACCAGCAACTTGTACAGCTTCTTATTTTGGCCATCTTCTTCATATCTAGTCAGTGGCACATCTTGTTTACAGTAATCTTCTTGTATGTCAGTAATTTATACATCTGCATCAATGATAAATTTCCGTTTGCTAAACCGGTAATTAAATGTTTTAATGTCAACGACCGATAACCGATCAAGCTGAATAATCCTCAGCAATAAAAGAAATGTATCTCAGCAATTTAATTAAGGAATAATCTTATCATTGAAATTTAAATTCGCCATTAAAGTTTTTTAAAGGATTACAATAAGTTGACGCATTTAAGTATACCGATACGAGGCTAGAGTTAAGTCTTTTATGTCGAATCAATCCACAGTGGCTGCATTTCATTGTATATCCTTTGAGCTGACCCGACCTTTCTTTATATAGTTCGCTTTTGGTATGTTTGACATTTATCCGTCCCAATAAAACCATATAAGTCCATTGTGATCGATATATGAAATATCGCAGGTGGGCACCAAAGATTTGAATATGTCTGAGGCTTTTTGTGAGGAGATTTTATTATTGTTGATCCATTAACAGTTTTTATTGCCTCAAAAACTCGTTCGTTGCACCAATCGCTCTACGTCTCAGCAACGTGATGGTTTTTAAAGGGCTGTAGGTTTTATGACGGCATTTCATAACTTAATTGTATGGACACTCTCCAATTAGTCTCAGATTATTTTGTACGCAGCCCGTCTATTTTCCTCGTCTGTTTTAATTTAATGTTTCAATATAATATACATATTTATTATGTACAATTTATAGTTTAATTATATGTTCTGTTTTTTACAAACATCAATTTCACAGACATCAGTATCTTATCCAATAAAGGTATTAATTAGCACTGAAAGAGCTCTCACCTTATAATTACGTACGATGATAACCGGACAGAACTCGAGCGTACGGTGTTGGCTCAAATTTGTTTTGATGAAACGAGGCCAGTGTCTGAACTAGATGAGAGTTTAATTATATCTGAAATGTTTTACGTTCGAAATTAATTCGCATCAAGAACATCCTGTAGATATAACGCAAACGCCATCAATCCAGTGGCAGAACAAACAAGTCAATATCCATTAATCAAGACACAAAAAGTAGATAATGATATAAAACATCTTCAACAAGAAAATCGGTAGCAGATGAAAGACTCTTCGGCATTGACCTTATCTCGGTGAGAGCACGTTACAAATCGATTCCGCGGAGCCAATGGGACGAAGCAAACATGGCGGTCGATGACCCTGCGCCCGCGCACAATTTGCATACCTAGTCATTACATCACGGTTGACCATAACTACTTGGATATGATTTGTTCGTGTCTAAGGGCGTGAGGACCTTGTTAACAAGCTGTATGACAATCAGCGCTCATTACTTACGACGCGTCTCCTGTCATCTTTAAACTTTACTCCTAGCAAGGAATGATGCGTCTTTATTTTGATGTACTAATATTATATGAATTCCGATAAATATCGTCAAGATGATTCAAACGTGTCTAATGAGATAGAATCAGAAGGTTGTTTTATCCGAGTGATTGGTGATCAGCAGTCATATTAGATCTTTATCGTTGAATCTAACATGTGAATCGCCTACGAGACTGGAGCGTATGCGCCGGCGCACGCTTTCGATAAAAATCACTCAGATACATTATCACTTCGCTAAAAGGGATTATGTTTTTGTTGGAATTATAATATGTATAATAATGTTTGCTCGATATATTTCTGATTGTTATTAATATTTAAATAATAATTTGAAGAGATTCATGACTCCAGTAATGACTAAATTTTCCAATTATTTGAAAGAAATTGTAATTAAGCATAAAAAGACGAGGTTAAAAATAATCTATATTAAAAATAATTGACATGAAATTTTAGGGTTCACCCCAGCTTATGCTTTAACATAATCTTGATAGCAATCATGTCCCTAATCGCAAACGGTTACAAACATTCACAGAATTCCAAAAGAATAATTTAGTCATATAAGCAGAAATGAACCCAGACACGCACTACACATTCCTCAAACATGGAACTTCCAGCCATAGTCGGGGAACCGGTGGTTAGACAGTGCCTTGGGCGTTCGGCAATCGAAGGGTTGAGGAGCAACTTGCCTGGGGCACGAGCGAGCGTTCCCACAACCGACAACAGAGGTTTCTTACCCATTTTAGACTTCGGAATTAGACTACCATAGATATAACAGTTATCCGCATTACGATAACATGAATTCTAATTTACTGGGAAATGAGTCAAACAAAGACAACGATTAAATCATTTTATTATTATTATAAAACTAATGAATCAATTGCCATAAATAATATATCATGACAATATAATTAACAGAATAAGACAAGCAGCAATCAAGAGACACACCATCAAATTGTTTTATTATAAACAAATGTTGCTTATTGAATACGGAAGAAATGTGTGAGACAGAGCTGTGTTTTAATTATAAATGATACAAGCGCTGTGAGTCTGTGAATTAAAAGTCGAAACAATGGTTATGCTAATGCAGACAGACAAGTCATTTTCTATTGTACATAGTTTCGAGTTGATTTTCTCGAAGACTACCCGAGTAGTTGCACCATTTAGCATGCTACTCTGACCCCGTACCCGATCTCATTGATTCGATGCGAGATTAAACTGAATATTTCCATTTTGTATTTGCTCTGATGCCAGTCTGAACTCGCACCCGGATGTCATGTTTTTACATTCTATTCACTTGTTTGCTGTCGTGCTTTCGGGGTCATGATTTTTCATTTTTACTGACTCTCTTAGTTTCTTTATTAAGTTGTACTCGTATTATTTTCGTGTACGTCATTTTTCTTTCGAAATGTATGTAATTTAAATGTACGAGGTTATATTAGTTGTAGAAAACATTGAAATACATAATTTATTTGTAGCATTACCCCGGTATTTCCCAACGATTTAAAAATTGTCACAAACGTTACGTGTTTTTCTGTATATTTCGTATTCCGGTCGCATCACTTCTCATTTGTTTACGGTCACCATAGGCGTTTAACTGAGTCGCCATATTTAACCTTGGACTTTGGGTCAGCGATCTAACTGGCGAAAAGGCAAAAGTAAAAAACATAGTCGCATTCGAGTCCGCTCGTTACTAAACGGTCGTTTTGTTGGCGAGCGCTCGAGGGCAATCATGTCTTGGTATAATGAAGGGCTGTGCACGTCCTCTGCCCCAAGATTTATGGTTGCAAGAGCCGCCGACATCGGCGCGTTGGCTTGCGTTTGTCGCACCATTATCACGATCTTAGATATTGAGTGCAATTATTACTAATATGATAAGGTTTTGTCTGTTCAACGTGATATATAGATCATTAAGGTAAGGTTATTCAATTAAATGCTAGCACATTCGTCAATTCTAAGAAACAATATTGTAAAATCTGTTTCACAAGGTAGAAAAGAAGTTTTTTTCGAGTGTAATGTGTCATCCAAGAATTATTAATGCCTGTCACTGTTAAGAGAGTATTTAATTGGTGTAATCAAAATGTAGATGACGAATTTTTTTAATTGACTTGTCGTACGCTCTCATCTTAGTGGAAGCCTAATAATTCTATTTTTAAAGACCTCCAAATTGTAAGTTATAACAAAAACATAGACGCAAGTAAACTGCTTGATTACAATTGTATGAAATGCTATCAGTTCTAGCAAGTATTTTGTGACAGCTTGTCCGACACCTTCATTTACGTACAAGCATTTCAATATGTTAATTTCTTCTAAAAGGACGACTCTTTATAATTTGGCAACAAGTTAATATATTTCATATCCATATTTCCATATCCACACGACGCGTCCCGCCCATTTCAATATTTATGATGATTGGGTACCGATAGTATCTTGAGGTTGGTTGATTCGCAAAGAAAACTCATTCTCAGGACATTATCAACTTCTCGGAAGCTAATAACTCAAATCTGAAGATTTATCAGCAAGTTTATTTGATAAGATTTTTTATATCAGTACCACATGGCGTAAATCAACGCGAACGTATTTCAAGCTTTTACGCATATGATTCCTTCACTCCTCTAAGTGGCCTTATTTATTTCATTCATATCATTTTTAGATCTCACATCTAATCCTATCGAATTTCATTAGACTCCAATTGCTTGATAAAAATTCATTTGGATCGCTTTGTCTAAATTGTTTGTTATATAAATTTTTCCTAAGTATAAATAAACGTTATCTAATTCTATAACGAAGGGACGAAGTCTTAATTGAAGTATTTGTGTAAGCTTTATTTAGTTACTGTTAGGGTTTATTTTCCAATGTCCGCTGTGTATGTGAAGGGGTGCGTCGGCGTCATTTGCACGATGCACGTGTTTAATGTAACTCGATCCGTGGTATAGATAATAATTCTGTATTGTCGAGAGCCAGACGTTCGCCTACACAATTGAAGGATGGGGTCCCATTGAATCGATGTCTCTCCGGAGATAATCGGTGCTTTATGCGGATATTTAGACATAAGGTGTTAATACCCAATGTATATTTTGGAAGTTGGCTTATATATTTATTCCTAGATTTTACTTATTGCTTCGAATCAAAATGAAAATTAATGCTTCATGTAAAACGTATAAAAATGATATCTAAAAGCACTTCGTACGACTGGTCCCGTTATTATGTAACTTGCTACAGAACATAGTCACACGAAACTACGACTAACAAAAGGTTCATTACCCTTAAACTATGTGAATTGTTTGAATTGGACGATAATGAAATGTAATGCGACGCTTTATCTCGTTATGATATAAGAAACGATCAAACTTCAAGTTACAGGTATGCGCGATCACACAGACAGTATCGTCGTCTCTCATTCGACACACGACACGTAGAACAGTAAAAACTGCATAACATTACCGACTAATACGAAGATGAATTTTTTGTTCATAAAATGGATCTTCCAAAAATCTTCGCAGCAATTATGTGCATGACTCACGTCTGGTTTTGTTTCTTTGAAATCGTAATTTGCATTCCATTAATAAATTATTTTCCATCGGGATTTTAAACGATGAACCAGTTCCAATGTATGTATAAGAGGTAATACTGTGTCACCTAGAATTGAATTAGGACCCCATAGCCTCTCAATCATCGCAGATGTTCAAATGGCGGTTACGGGTGTGAATATCAAAGACTACATCACTTCTTGCTTATAAGATTAAGATAATTTTGTAGAAAATAGTAAAACATGTCCCTAGCTTCATTTAAAGCAAATCTTTCTACTTAAAAAAATCATGTATGTTCGCAAAAACAACTAGTCCAACGTAAATTCCTATCGCCTTACTCTATGGACTATACGCAAGCTGCGCGCGCACACACTCACACAGACACACACACGTACGTACACGAACACGTGCGCGTGTGTGGACGCGTGGGAACGGAGAACGCGTGCGCCGATACTGACGCGCTTTGTGCATTATTTAAAAGTAGGTATAAAATGTTTTCGGTGTAACAACGCCCACGTTTTATATTTAGGTGATAGTAATGAAACGTATTCATATCATATAAAATTATATATAGAATTATTCTTATTTATCTCATTTTATATAAGTAAAGAATGTAATGTTCAATAAAATGATTAAAATTTTAATTGTCATAATTGAAATCAAATTATGATAAGTGATGAATAAATAAAACCCATAAGCTACAAGGCGAGTCAACACTCTAATATGATTAACACGGTCCATATCAAATCTAAATCTGGTCTGTTAATTTGGCTAAACAGTTGCCTTGAAGGCGCCTTTCTCCTAAAACTCTGGAAAGATCGGGCGATAGCATGACTGGTACCGGCCTTGATCACTGGCTCCACTGGCCTACACCTGGCTTTATCTTAATGTCATTACAATATTAACTAACATGGGTATTACAAGAAACTAGGGGTAAATGCAAAGTTTGAGATCAAGATTGTGTACCAACTTCTTGAGCAAACTTCAATCTTTAACATGGAAGATAGTTTTATTCAAATATAATCTAAAATTTATTGTAACTTCAACGTATTAAAGTTTCGATTCATTCAATATAATTACGTTTCCATCTTCTATAAACTGTTCAAAGCAAAACCGACAAATCTTTAGGCCCGAGGCACGAGGTCTATTTCATAGATAATTTATAAGCCGTCCGTATTACCGTTTTGGTTAATACCGATGCGTGTGCGTCAAACATGTTTATTACTAATTGCCCTTTGTTAAAGTTAGAGCATGAGTTATGACTAGAATATATTGAGCTCTTATAAAAATGCATGTGCTGTCTTAAAAGAGAAATTCCTTAATTATCGCTGTCTTTAACTCAAGGTCCGTATGCTTATTGTGTTGCTCGGTCATTGTGTAACTTGAGATACAGTTTGTTCTTTATCATAATTAAGTCGAGTCTTGATGTGGTCAGTTCAATTGTTACATACATAAACAGAACTTAAACGATTTGTCTTTCACTAGACTGATCATGTGTTATACATAATATACCTAATGATCATGCTTGAATACAAAAAGTCGAAATACATTGCAAGACTTTATTTAAATGAACCTCAGTTTAAAATCGAAGAATAATTTTTAGATATCCTTCGCTTGTAAACTTCGTAGTGATTATAATTGTCTTATGTTAAGGAAATTCAGATTTGCCATTTCGCCTTTACAGTACACAGGACATTAATATCCGCACAGATAAACCTCAGGTCAAAGTTAATCTCGCCCCCCTCCACCCGCTGCCAGGGAACCGCCCACTCGGGCTGCGCCTGCGCCTGCGCCGGTCGCTCGCCCAATAGAACTGCGAATTCACGTGATCTACTTATTTGATTGTACCTCAGAACATACACTCATTACTTAAATTGAATAAAACGTGCATAGGAACACGTGGCTCGTAAATATATTGATATTAAATGACTTTGTAAGGTTGGATGTCTCTCGGTTTGAAAGTAATCGTTATCTGTGTCATCTCAGTATCTAGGATGCCGGGTTGGATATAAATAAAGAAAGAACTTTTTGCTTCAACGTCAATTAGTTGGAACGTGAGTTTATTTATCGCCCGAAGCTCGTAGTTTTTTCCTAACATTTTTAATTAGCGGTAACTAAGGAGTTAGCATCAGATTTCTTTGTATAACGAAACATGTAAATATTCGTTAGCGAATGTCAATCTTTAACACTATGTGTTCACTTGATTTCATCACTCGAGAAACAGATAATAAGTTCATCACAACTATGACTCCTATACTATATAAATTAATTATTAACTTACTCACTATGTAAAAATGTGTTTTATTATAAAATAAATCTACAATGAATAACAATATGATGTCATAATGTTCTCGTTGTTACTTGATTGTTACATTCAGTAAGTTGAAAATCAAGAAAAACTTTTACGACTTTCGAAAAAACTAAACTGGATTTATCTATATTACAAAATATTATAATCATAATATTAAAATGATTTCTGTATAAATATTTATAAAATAGATTGCTTCTCACGAAAAAAAAAACAATATTATTTATGTAATTTATTGTAAGATAATCAAAAATTTATTCAAGAACTCAACAGTAATGCATTATGCAATGACATTAACAAATATATTTCCTGCCTCCATTCATATTTTTCTTAGTGCTCGTAGTCATTTATGCTCAGTAAACAGGATACATTTGCTCTTTTACAAATGTACATGTTCAGTAGTAACTGTCTGTCCATATGTTACACCAAATGAAGACAGGATAAACGCTACTTGTAAAGCTTCCGTGTAAAAAGACGGATCACACGGACGTAACGTAACTGTCAAAAGGCATCTCATGATCTGCAACGGAAAAGCAAAAAGTTTATTAATTTTTTAACCTATCCTATTTCATTAAAACGATGATAATATATTCATAAGAATAATTAAAATATTAGAAAAAAATAAATATAAAACGAAATTCTCATAATTTTGTAATCATTAATAAAGGTCAAATTAATTTATCGATATGCTACTCCATCATCATTTAACAATTTTAATTATCTTGTTAAACTTTGATGTTGTCAGTATTTTTTGTTAGTTTTATCGATAAAGATTGTCGATAAATGTGCGCACTATGCGTACGGTCGCTGTCACCCCACTATCATCTGATAACTTACGCTTTTAAGAACAATCCTTTACTATCTAAATATGATAAATTACTAACAAATATCAACTAAAATTAATTGTTCAAACAATGTTATGACCTATTTTATTCATAGCTGAACAAATGGAAAGCTTGTTGTTTGACTTGATCTGTCTTTTAAAGTTCACGAACGGAATATCGAATATCCAAAGTCCAAACAGTTTCTTGCAACGCCATTTATTTATTGCGGCCTCTCTCGCTCTAGACGACACGGGATCTCATGTCGGCTGAAATAAATTATTGCTTTACACCAAGCTCGCCAGCCCTTTTCTAACTAACGATCTACCTTTACGTTATTTTAACTGACTAACATGGTCTAGTTTATCATCTCGAAGCGTTCTAGTTTCTGTTGTTTCAGCTCAACCTTTTTCATCGTCGTTAGATCATCGATAATACCAATAATAATTTATAGCTCACTTTATAATGAAGATTTAGCTGCTATAAAAGCTGCTCTCACAAGCATAAACGATTTATTGTGAGCATTAATTTTTTATAAAGACACGCGGATCGAAAGAAGCTGTTGGCTGTCATTTTTTTTGTTGTCGTTTTAAAATTGAGTGAGTGTTGAAGATCATTTATTTATTTATAATTTTATCGTGATAACTTCGGGCGTTATGTTAAATGGCCTATATAAATCTGCGTTGAGGTACGAGCTAAGTGCAACCACCCGACTGAGTCTAAGGTCGCCGCGTGGGCGTCTTCGTGAGCTGCCCACGTGGACAGGTTCCCAGTTTCGAGTGGTTTCAAGAAAACATTTCGCGTCTATGAACTTGATGGAATCCCGCTGTTAAAACGATAATATTGTATTCAAATTCTCGTATTGTTTTTCTGAATCGTCTTGGTATTTACCGGTAACACACAGTCAGTATATTTATAAAAAAAACTTCATCTCTTGTCAATACATATTTTAAATATGCTATAACATTTAGTGCAAATTAGATTTTCTGTTTTTAATTCGGCTTAATTCTAGTTTGAACTTTGTCCTAGACAATTTTAGTTCGATATAAATTACACAAAAAGAAATTCTGGTATTTCGTAAAACGTTAGTCGTTTAGTTTTCAAATATTGACAAATCACACACATAAAATTTACTTAACAAATATTAGCTAAAAATTAGAGTACATAATGTAATCACTTTCGTTGGTACTCGTCTTGTCTCACGTAAAAGCTATGAAGTAAAATTAAGGTGCTTATTTTTTAAAACCAAATGTCCCTGAACTTCAAAATGTAAATACATCAATATACCTTTTATCTTGATTTTTTTTCATTTTTTCATTCAAGTTTTTCGTCAGTTATTTTAAATAACCTTTTAATTTATCCTAGATTTCCATAAGTTAGAAGTGGTTATAAAGTCAATGAAAGGCTTTTTATTTAAGTTATATTATATTGAAACTAAAATACAAAATCTATAATAAAATAAGGCTTAGAGTATAAAGTTGGAGGCGCATGTCATGGGACCGTGTCTCGACGTATCTCTCTTATTTATGGAGTCGAGGCGCGCGGTCTTCGGACAAGATAGTGCTACAGTGGCTGGAGCGTGTTCATCCCATGTCTTTAATCCATACTACAGGTAGCTCTCAAACAGCTACATACTTACTCGGTTTTCGTATTAGAGCTAAATACGAAAACTTAATGGAAATTTTAGTTTAGAATCTTCTATTTACCTTATCTTACAATGATTGTTTTTGGATTACGTTTACTATCTTGTATTTCGCTGTGAAAGATTTTTCAGTTATACCTTAGTAACAGAATTATGAAATATTATTAAGGTACTTAGATAGGTATGTGATATAATAAGTAATTGTGTATTTATTTTCAGTTGCACGTCTCGTTACGCCGGCGAGTTCTGCCAGCATCTGAACCCTTGCCACAGTGAATCAAGCCCTCGCTGTCAGAATGGTGGTTCATGCAGGGTTCGACCGGGCGTCGGTGGCGCTCCGCCCTCGTTCGCCTGTGATTGTCCATTGGGATTCAGTGCATCATTGTGCGAGATACGTGTACCGGCCGCTTGTGATTCCGCGCCCTGTCTGAACGGTGCGACGTGTCGACTGACGTCATTGTTCACTTATGAATGTGACTGCCCTCCAGGCTATACAGGTACGTAAATTGGATAGACTTTGTTGATTCATATATTGTGTTAGTAATCTGTAAGAATATTTGCAATGTATTAAATGCTATTGTTTTTCGATATTACTATTATTACGTAAATGTTTTCCAAATGAACTATTATTCAATGTTGTATGGATCTATCGGAATAGGAATAAATTTTAATATGACAGTACAATGGTATCATTTGAAATATGACGGCGTTTATTAAACTCAAAAGCGATAGCTATCTGATGAGTACTCATTAGATCCTCATTGGATAATATCCATATACGGATACGGATAGTTACAATACAGGTGCATAGACAATGTATTAATAAATTGCGGAACTGAATGCGACTTTAATTAAGCTTTGTGTTCCGAAGTATATGTGTAATGGATAAATAAACATACTGCAATTTAACGTTGGAATGATAAACGCTGACTATCTGGAAATATTTCACATATTCTAATAAATAATCAGACAGTCTTTTAAATCATGATTTAATGTATTGTTCAAAATTAATTTTAAACTTTCTGTCGAATTAATCAATTAGAGATGAAAACTGGTAACTATTAATTTTGAAAGTTGTCTTAACTTTAAGAATTTCCTTTCAACTTAACCTTATAACTCAAGTGTAATGTGTTTTCTTAATGCTTGTGAATAGAGTTCAAATTCCGTGTAGTTTTTAGTTTAATAGTCTCCACAAATTTGGTTACACGCGTAATTATACTATCAACAGAAATGAAGCCAACAAGTTATGTTTTTGTGACTCTTGCAATTAAAACACAACTTATTTTTTTTGTCGTTCTTTATATTGATAAAAAAAACTATATAATTAAAAAATATATGAATTCAACGATTGTATTGTGTTAAATTCTAAAACCAAATTAAATGTATGTTCTATGTAAGAAATTACTAATTTATTAGACCTTTTTTTAGTCAAAGAAATCTGTAAACGTAGTATGATATTCCAATATATATAATAAACACTAGTAAGTGTTATTTTCCGCTCAAAATCGGGCGTTTCCAATGTTAGTTGAGGCGAACTCTAGACAGTAACTAGGTACAATCAAAGGGAGCCGAGTTGATGCTGTTCCAGATACAGATCTGCTGAGATAATTGGCGTTACGTCACATTGTTAGAGAAACAAACGAAGGGTACGGAACCATTTATAAATTTATAACCATTATAACTTTACTTATATCATAAAAAGGTTCGCTTTAGAATAGACTATTCTAAGTTAAAATATAAAATTAACGTGCCTTACTACTTCATAGATAGGTAATAATCTTTACTGAAATTTGTTATAAAAAAACCTTTTTAGAATATTCCTTGGGATTTTTTTTTAATTCAAGTTTAACACAAGCAAATCCTGTTTAACGAACATGTCTTAAAAATTTTGCCAATAAAAATGTATGACTATCATATAATATAATGAAATTTTCCATATATATTTTTTGTCGAAAAAAACTTTGCGTAATTTCGTTAAATTACAATAAGTTTTCACAGCGGATACGAGGTGAAAGTCACTGGTTACTGTAATTTGTACTTCCTCTATACAATACTTTATAATAAGCATTAGATATAGCATTTGTTAGAATTGGCTGTAATACTAAAAACTTATTATTAAATTTATCAAAACGGGATTCATTCCAATAATTTATTGAACTGGTTCCAAATAATGAGCTCTAAGATTTTCGCGAGTACACATTTAAATGAAACTAATATTTTCGGATTTACTACGTGATTTTTTATTTTTGACTATAAACTACATACCTACTCCCGACGTTTCGGTTACTTTTCAGCAACCGTGATTACGGATAGTCAAAATTAAAAAATCGCGTAGTAAATCCGAAAATATTAGTTTTATTTAAACGGTTCCAAGTAGGTATACTGGTCGGTGATATTAAATTAATATGTATTATTTCAATATATATTATACTTAGCTATGTAACAGATGAATGTACATATTGATCCTCACTTGATTCGTACTGTGACCATCATCAATTGAGCTCGTTTGAACCAATCAAACCGAATTCCTGGTGTCGTTTAACGCGAGCCGATTACTCAGCTAGGCGTTTCAATTTAATTGGTGACGAATTTTATTATTTCTAACGTAGCCAACGATGCATATTTATGTTGATAATCTCGTTTAATTGGATGCTCGTAAACTATTACAAGCATGTTCATCATGTGTCATTTCATAATATCTGTACTAAATTCTTAAGATACTCACCTCTGTTGCGTAAACACTTGATCGAAGTTATCCCTACTAATATTATAAATGCGAAAGTAACTCTGTCTGTCTGTTTGTTACGCTTGCACGCCTAAACCACTGAACTGATTTTAATGAAATTTGGTACAGAGATAGAGTTGATTTTGAGAAAGAATATAGAATAGTTTTTATCCCAGACATTTGAAAGGTTGTCTTGGAAACGCGATATAACCGAACTCGACGCAGACGAAGCCGCGGGCGGAAAGCTAGTATAAAATAAACCAGATATTTGAGTTTGTTTCCAATACAAGAAGCTACTATCGACCAAATTACTCCCAAGTACAAAGACGCCGTTTATATGTAGTTAATGAAAGTTTCATTAAATATATTAACAGTAAATTTTGTCATTGAGGAGCTAAAGTATTATAATTTATTGTCATTTTATGATTTTCGATACAAAATTGTGATTATTTAGGCCCTGTTAAGCTTGTTTTGGTGATTATGAGTTTAGAAACTTGTTATATATAAATATATTACCGATTTGATCAGTCGCGTTTGTCAGTGAGTGTCGTCTTATTAAATACCGGTATTTTATGTGGTACTTAATATAGGACCAGATAATAATTAAAGTGGTTAGTAGAATAGTTGAATTTTCGACTAAATATAAGAAATCTAGTTATTAACATTGAGTGACAGAGATTTTTGTTTGAATTTATATACCTAGATTGTTATAAAAACTATTATATCTACCAATTATAATGCGATATAACAAAAGTCGTGTAATTTTATGATCTGCTAATTGTCTCGTTCTCAAACAACTGAGCATTTCACACATAGATTTATTGTATGTAATGAGAAAAAGTTCTAACAAACAGTATTTGTTTACGTAGGAATAATACGTTATGAATTAATCTTAAATAATCTTAGCAATATTAGTATTTTGACTATATTTTTTCTAAAACTATATCGTTCTATTGCTCCACTAGGCGAAGAATGCTCCCATGAAGACCACTGCGCGTCCCAGCCTTGCAGGAATGGCGGAAGATGTGTAGCTGATAACACGACTGCCGCGGGTTACTCCTGTGCTTGCCCACCAGGATTCACTGGCTCTAGATGCACCGAAGACGTCTTCGAATGCTCCAGCGGTTCCGGGCCTTGTCATCATGGCAGATGCTTCAATACCCTGGGATCATACACCTGTGTTTGCGAGCCAGGGTACACAGGCAGAGACTGTGACACAGAGTATGTACCCTGTGAACCATCTCCCTGTCTCCATGGAGGAAGATGCACGCAAATGGATCAGTTGCGTTACGAATGCGATTGTCCTGCTGGTGAGTTTATTTTATATGGATTTTCGTTAAGTTGCGCAATAATGTATTATACAGCTATAAATATACCATGAAATTTTGGTAACCAACAGTCCATAGCCGGCAAAAACACAAGCGTTAAATTATTTATAATATTAAAAGCGAAACGGTGTCGAATGCCCAACATTTAGTGGACTGAGTCACGTTTCCTATTGCTATTGCAAATACATATTACCATATATAACTAGTCACTTTATATAGTTTCATAATAACTTCGGGTTAATAAATATAAAAAATCTTTATTTAATGGTTTTGGTTTTGATATTTATTATGTATTTCATAAAAACATTTGATTGTTTAATTACAATTATCAGATGACGCAATATTATAATTGCCGTGTAATATTCATTCTAATATTTAAGTTTGATGTATAAGTAATATATAAAATAATATTTAATATTAAGTTTCTACTTCTACATCACAATAATGTTAAACAAACATCGTATATTACATATAAAAGGTTCCTATCGCCGGTTCAATATATTTTGAGATCAATTATTTCCGGACGTCATTGATTTGCTTCCGACCTTTGACCTACAGCCATTTACCTTGCAACCCGATGTTATCAGTTCGTTACTTAGTAAGAGACAATCATTTTGTGTTCACTATCTATTCACTTACCACCAAATACAACTTAAATTGTTCCTCTTGGATTACAAATGTACGCTTATTTTACCGAATAATACAAAAATTTTAAAGTCCCGATATAATTTATATTTGACATTATCCGAATTCTATTATGGTGCACTAATCTTGGGCAATTTACAATCGTTTTTAATCAAAGTATTCTCGTTAAGCATCATGACCGCAGGATAGTTTCTCTAGCATATTTAGAACATTTCGCAACTTGGAACAAACAGAGATTGTAATTGTATAGACAGTACAAAAGCTAATACAAAGCCAATCACGAAGATTTATTTGTATACAAAGAGTGTGGAATATTATTGTTTTAAATAACGTGCTCGTTTAATCCTATCAGTTGCATAGATTAAAGTAAATTTAGATAATATTATCGCATCGCTACATTAATATTTTCCATGAGAAAGTCCCAACAATAGGTTAATGTACGTTGCGTGTCTACAATAGTTGTAGCTAGTCTGTGGTCAAGCCCGGGGCGACCACGACTTGCTATAAAATACGAACAGCTTATAAATATCTATACGAATGTATTAGCTAATATTTTACGTTCTTGTATCGATGAATTAACTAGGATTAAAGGTTGCTCAAACTTAGATTATTTCATGTTACGGGACTTTAATATGTAAGTAGTTGTTTTTTATGGTTTCACACGCAGAGTAGGGCTGCGATTTGATAAAGAAATATGTCTGAAATAAAATTCTCTTCGGTATATTTTTATTTGTAATTATATGTATTGATGTTATTCTATCTCATTTAAATCAATGTGTAGTTTGTTTAAGAATTATCTAAAGCTATCTTCCCACAGATGCCATATGTTATTTATCTTCCAGAGGTGTGATCTTGATGAAAGTTTCTCATCACAGCTTAAATGTATCAAATGTTCTAATAAATTTAAAGGTTACATTAAGATGTTGCGATAAAAATGTTTTACTAAAGACGTGCATTACAATAGAAACACACATTGTAATGATACAAGAAACTCTTCATTAAAACTTATGGTATTCTTACAAAATACACTCAAATTGATATGAAAATTAACGCGAAATACTGAAACAGTCTACTTTGTAATTCATATTAAGCTAATAGACTCGAAGTTGCATGTGATGTAAGACATTTTGGTTGCGGATGCTGTACGCTTTCTCGGAATAGTTCATGCAAATAACGACTCTGAATCTCAATTATAAGATTCACTATTCAACTCCAAATAACTGCAAAATTCGTTAAACATATTATTATAATATCCCAAAATTATATGGTATCTAAGATTCCGTGTAATTTTTGTTACTTTTGCACTTTAAATGTCATTTCAAATGTAACACTTCGATGTGACAATAAGAAAAAATTATAAAAACAGTGACAATTAATAATAGTAATGCTTTAGTCTTTATTAAAATGAACCTTAAAAATAACTCATTCGTAATGGAAATTAAAATCCATGGAGGAGATTTTAATCAAAATCAAAGAAATATTAAATCCTATCTATCGGTGGAAATTTATGGAGATAATTTTTTTTAGATTCTTTAATCTGCCTCACACGGCTGGCCTTTGAATTTATAGCCGTCATTAATTCTTAAACTCTAAAGACATGTCATTTCCTACTTAATGTATGAACATATTCAATAATTGTATTACCCTTACATATATTGATAAGCTTTGAACTAAACGTAAAGAAGTGACTGAAACTCAAGCTAGTATTAGCACTAGAAAAAATGCTATCAAATGTCGTTAAAGTATTCATTTATTATTGTCGTTTTTTGTCTAAATCAATTTTAAATTCACTTCAGACAAAGATATCTCGAAGCAGCTTCCGTATTTTAATGATTTGTCCATATGTATGGGAAAGAAGGGAGGACACGATCTCACACCATATGTTAATGGTGTCAAAACATACCTATACCCTCAATACAAACTTTGAGTTTATTCAACATAAATAGTGTAAACTATCAGGAATTCATTTATGTATGTTAATTACGTCATCGGATTTTAGCTTTTATTTATATCTATATAAAGCCTATAATACGATAACTTGATATTTTTGACCATCCCATTGAACCGTGGTCAAAGTAATCATTGTTTATGTGATAGCTTTCAAAATATTGTTATTTTGTATAATATTATAGAGCACTTGTTAGTTATGGTTATTATAAAGACATTCTGTGATTTTATATTTATGGTTATGGTGTTAAAATTTACTTTAAAAATCGATATCTTTCTTGTTAATAACAAATTATTTGATTTTATTATCTGTTATAATATTTTGTTGGCTTTTTAAGATAACTATTTAACTTTCTATAGCTTGATACCGTTTATAAGAATTCATAATATAATTTTTTCTGTCGTTGTTTTGTCTAAAAATCTTATTTTATATCCATATTAGGGCTAAAGTTTTATTTAAAACATGTGTAATATAAATAACATGTGTTTCATGACTTGCCAAATTTTATTATATACAGACGCGTTATCATATAAATAAAACAGAAGCCGGCGATAGATTTCATAGTGTTTTTCATGTCATAAACAAACACATGTCCGTGGGAACAGTCGGCCTAATGAAGGTAATGATCTTGCCGAGTTGCTAATCGTCTTCACTGTGGATAGCTGTTCTGTTGCTTCAATTAGTAAAGAGGAAAGTGATACTCTTATATCTCGATAGAGTTTGTTAAGTGGGAGCACTTGGTACTGATTTTAATGTTGCTACACTGGTACTTGTTGTCTTGTCAATCTAAATATTTGACATATATATTATTAGTTTCTTATTTTAAATAACTGTATAGTTTATAAATCAGTGGTCATATCTAACCCACCAACGACCAGATTTTAAATGATTGAATTCATAATATTAATGTAAATTTTATTGTTATATCCGCTAAGGTTACCGCGGTCAGAACTGCGAGATTGACATCGATGACTGTCCGGGACATTTGTGTCAGAACGGCGCCACTTGTGTCGACGGTCTCAACTCCTACACCTGCGAGTGTCCGCCGACATTCAGCGGGAAGTTCTGCGAAACTGATGTAGATGAATGCGCCTTGAGGTGAGTTGGTTTCCAATATGTATTCCGTATATCCAGCTTGCGATTAATTTGTTAATGATCATATCACGGATATAGTCGTTAAGCTGTCGCAATAAAGGGCATTTTGCTATCAAAATAATCCGATTGTCCTCGCAATTTGTGTTGTACGTGGATGTATGGTTGCATTGTTTCGGTAAACGAAAAAATATATAACGTCAAAATAGTGTAACTTTTTGTATGAGAGATAATGATTCAATTATATCATTATATCACAATGACGAAATAATGACGCTGCTTTCATTGAACTTTGAAATATTGTTCTTTTTTATTATTCGTCATGTTTCCAAAATTTGATATCTCTAACCGCCAGACGCAAACCTCTTAGGTTGTCGAATAAAAACTATCACGGAAATTAAGACTTTATCACATGAATATAAAACATAATTTAGTATAACCTTATCGACTAGCAGGGTAAAATTGTCGAAGCAAACTAAAGCACTTCAAATAGTCGCTTTCTTTTTTCATATCCATCGCTAAGGGATTTTGGGCTTTCACATGCATACAAATGGATCTAAATTCGTTTGACTATTACGTTATAGGATAATGACATCCTATCCGAGCCGCTGGCACGTAAAACGTAACAGATAGACCATGCGCAATATCGGGTTACTAAAACACATTTGTTTATTTTTTGATTCAATAACCGTTGAAGCGTATGTATAATGGGGGGAGAAGGGGGGGATGAAGTGTCCAAATAGGTGGTATAGGTGTCGGTATGTCCGTTTGATAATAATCTGTTAAATTACAAGTCCTGTCAGTATTGGGTGATAACGATTATGGTTCGAAGCGTCTCAGAAAACTTTGGGCGATCCCAGCGTTGTAAAGTTTTTACTATGTATTTTATTATAGCCATATAAATTTATATTCGTCAATCCCAAAGGTTTTGGCTTTTATATTTCTATGTGGATTGTATAAACAAATACGAGGTGTAAACCAGTCTAGTGTTTTTTGGGTTATAAAATTTAAGAAATGAATATTATTCGATCTAAACCATTAATTAAAAAAAGTTCAGAATTCGATTGTATTTTTACGCGTTTACTATAAGAGAGGTTTTATTTCGACTGAATTATTTTCAATATATGTCTGTAACCGCATTTTTTAAATTCTTAACTATATATATAATATCTTCTAATGTTGCGTCCTGACAAATCAAATTAAAATTTAATATAACTCTCTATATTAACGTTATACATTGTATGCTATCATGGAATGTTATAAATTACATTTTAATTTTAACATTCTTGGAACAAATATACTGTAATTGATACATATTCCATTCTATAGAATGAATAAGGAAAACAACTTTTTTATCTAAAATAAAACGCGAAGTAAAATCCGAAAATATTAGTTTCATTTAAACTTTTTTATTCTCGTCGTCCGTTAATATTATTTGAAAATGATCCTTGTTTGACACTGTGGAATCTTTATATAGTGGTTGCGTTCCCTTCTTAGTACTTGAAGGTAATCAATAAATAATGATTTATAGTAAAAGACATGCGATTCCTTAACGGGTTTTAAAATACTTGAGATACATTTGCAATCAATCTTATGGGCAGATCACTGTTGGATATATTACGTTGTTCATAAAGAATGTTTTATTATAAAACAAAGAATTATTACTTATCTATTAAACGGCGATACAAGTAGAGTAATGATTCGTATATAAAAATTTAACAATAAGCCTGTAAAATTCTGTTCAACTTAAATACTAGGCATTTTATTCTGTACATATTCAAATTTTATTTATTCTAATCAAACAAAAACGATTGATGGTTTCTCTAAAGTGTAAAGTATATTCTAAACGATATGTTAAGTAAAAAATGTATACTAATCAGTAAAATAATATATAAATCGAAAAAAGCTTCAGTTATTTATTCAGACGTAGAAAAACATCTTAATTCACCTCTCCATAAACAGTATTAATTCGTTAACGTGAATTTTTATAAGACTATGTAAACGATAAAGAAGAATCTTCCAACAAAACCGATACCGAACTAAAAACGATCATCAGCTTCCTTCTTTGTGATTCGATATTCAGAAACATTCGAATACCTTCCACAGAAAGTCAACATGTTTATTCATGAGGCGACACCGCGGCAGACAAAATTATTTTATTAATTACTAGTATTGGAACGTCTCCAGATAAATATCATTGTATAAAAGAGTAGCCGAGAAGTTAAGAGATAAAAACACTTTTAAGAGCGGTAGCTAATGTTCTTTGATTGCTTTAGAATGTAAAGACAATATTTAGATTTGATAATTAAATAAAGTGGTTGGAAACTACGTGTTTATTTTAAATAAATTTTGGATTATTATGCAATAAGTAAAAATAGATATTATGTTAATTTTTACTATAATCTTAATAAATAAATACATTATATATGATACGCCTAGTATAAATCCGCTAACAGACGACATTAACTTAAATATGATATTTTACAATCTCTTATCTTGTGTACAATCTCTTTATTAATGGTTATAAAAAACAAACATGCAACGAAATCTTTGACGATTAAGAACTGGTTAAACTTGAAATGTTTTTTGATTCGCTGATACGAAAATACTCTTTTAGTTTATTGTGAAATATCATATTTCGAAAAGACATACATTTTATACATACGTATACGTATAATATACATATATGTTTGTCATAGTAAAATATCTAAATTCTAATTTACATAGACGACTTGTAAAACGCCGTCTCCATTACGCGTAACGTGCAGTCATTAGTTAGAGAGGCGGTAGCTAGTTGCTATTCAATTTGGTGTTATCAAACGAACATTAATCAATAAATATATACAACGTTTTATAATTTATAGAGTACCATAATAAAAAGCATTACAGCCACCCCATCAGGGATGATAAAACAGTTACTATTGGTATCAGAATGGTTGAGATTAATATCGCATCAATTATTCATAACCCGACACACTTATATTCTTATACGGCAGCATTGATCTACGACGTTGCTTGTTTTAGGAAAGTTTATTGAGTATACGTTATGCTCTGCGACTAGTCACTAGACAGCTACTCAATTACTGACTCCCTCGATGTCCACAGTATAATTCTCCGTTTGTCATACTTCAAATTAACGTCTGGAGGTTTCAAAGGAATTATTTTATATGATAGAGTTATGTCTTAGTTTTTTGATGTTTATTTAGAATAAGTCTTATAAAGAATGCAGTCTGTGCCGTAATAATGACATCTTAACAATAAAAAATCCGCTTTGAACGAAGGTTAATTTCACAGTCTCGGAGTCGGTTACTATACAAACATGAAGTCCTAGTAGTGGGCGATAAATTACATCGCTTTAACGAAGGTTCTTCATAATTACACGAGATTGCTATATATACCCTTCCATAGCTTTGGATATATTGTAAATAATCATATTTGGTGATCAGTTAATATATAACCATTATGTGCAATAATTGCCGTTGTGCAATAATTTGAATGCACATTTTAGTATGATGAGATAAATATGTAACATTTAATTTAACATGTGAGAGTACAGTTATAGTGATTGCTATGGGATTGATAAAAGTAAAATAAGCAACATGAAATTAGTGATTAACGATGATGACTTCGATGGCAAATGCCTTCCGTGTCGGGTCGTTGCCACTGGGCTTCATTGAGGCTCAAGAGACGCTCCCATGAATGTTTGTCTATCTAGAATAAGTTATGGTGTTAGGAAATGATCAATACTTATTTACTATGATAATTATCTTGTAGTAATATTATTTGTTTTTACAATAACAGATATAAATTATTTTGACTGACGAAAGTAACACGTAAAAGTTTTATATATTTGAACTCATTGAAATAAGCAAAGCTAACGTATTAAGCTTCATTATAATTGTGATAACAAGAGTATAAAGATCAGATTTGTTATAACAGCACGCGCCCAAGACACACCTTAACAGCTTTCAGGTCTCGACTTGGGAAACAGAGGTCTAACTTATCTCTGACCTCATTTATTAAATGCCTCCAATTGTACAACTATATAATATAATTAAAAGGGACAATTTACTTAATTACGAAATTTAATAAAACATATTTTAAAAACAATTATGTTGACATGAATTTCAGTGAGAAATGTTTTGATTATTCAAAGAATTTTATGATTGGCGACTGCCGAGTATGGTGGCACGAGAAATTACAAGAGTGTCCATTAATGTACTAACAAGTGATATTTTAATTGGCTTCAAACACGTTTGTAATGTGTCTTCCGAGATGTCGTTATGAGCCGGCTCCTTTTCGGACATTTCACCCAAAACTTCCTTACGGGAGTTAAGTGCCCATTGTTAACGTGCACATTCTGATATTGCGTGAATTTAAACAGCCTAAATACAGTTTGACTTATTCATATGCTTTAAAGTGTAGACTTTCGAAATGAATTAAAAATCCGCTTCATTCTAGGAATATTATTTTAATATAATTTGATACGCTATTTATGTGATGACAGCTTTTGTTCCAATCGGCAAACAATAAAATGTACCTAATCATTTTTGTTTCGAAATTCTGTAAGAAAATAAGTATATTCACCAATAATATTCCAAGAAAATTTAAGAGAAATATTATCAGATCCTATAAACTACGACCAATCAATCTAGCAAGATCATTAGACCTTGAATATATGAAACTAAGTATTGATTCTTTCCACAGACCTCTAGTTTGTCAGAACGGAGCAACATGTACGAATTCCGTCGGAGGATTTTCATGCATATGTGTGAATGGTTGGACTGGTCCAGAATGTTCTGTAAATATCGATGATTGTGCTGGAGCAGCCTGCTTCAATGGCGCTACATGTATAGACCGTGTTGGAGCCTTCTACTGCAAGTGTACTCCAGGGAAAACTGGTGAGTTCTGAAATATAATAATAATGTTATATCATCGTCCACTTATCATCACTCCTGGAAATTAGTCAAATATCCAATTTGAGGTCATGCCTAAATAATTTGTCTCAAGCAAAATAGTTTGTTTTAAAATTATGCTTATCTCTAGAGAGTAAATATATTCCTCTTTCTAACCAGGCCTTCTTTGTCACCTCGATGATGCGTGCACCTCCAACCCTTGTCACGCGGATGCTATCTGCGACACGAGCCCCATCAACGGTTCCTATACCTGTTCCTGTGCATCTGGATATAAGGGCTTAGATTGCTCCGAGGACATCGACGAGTGTGAACAAGGTAAGAAATATAAATTAATTAGTTTCTAGAACAGGTTACTGTATACTTAACTTTAAACCTCTTTATTTTACAATTTTAATAGAAACTTTAAATAAGAGAAAGGGCAGGTAATTTTGCAAGATTTTCGAAGCTTTTTGCAGCATATTGCCAAGTGACAAAGTTTTATAATAGATCATTGCAATACATGAACGAGATCATGAGTGTGAAAGATTTAAAAGCTAAAGGACTTTCAACCTTTAACAGATTTAAGTCCATATTCTGGAAATATCCTGCAAAAAGGTTAGAAAATCTTACAAAATTTCACGCCCTTTCTCTTGAATTTCCTAAAGATGATCGCTAAGAATTCAAAAACGTTGATTCAAAACTAACCTAACTCATTTACTCATCTACGTAGGATCTCCTTGTGAACACGATGGTATCTGTGTGAACACGCCGGGCTCTTTCGCTTGCAACTGTTCTGTGGGCTTCACTGGACCTCGTTGTGAGACCAATGTCAACGAGTGTGAGAGCCACCCTTGTAGGAACGACGGCTCCTGTCTCGATGATCCCGGTACCTTCAGATGTGTCTGTATGCCTGGTAAGTCCTTTTTATTTATCATAGCTGGCTAATACTTCACATTTGAGTTAATTCATTTCCTTCCTCACTCTTAAGAACTGTCTGAGTTTATGTTTTCGTTGTTGTGTCCAAAAATCTGTTTTAAATCAATAGATAATGTAACAAAGGATTTATGCGTGTTTAACTTGTCTTCGCTGAACAGACTTGATTTGCGACATAACGGTATCGAAGCCACGATACAATTTGCTCCTTAGTTGACAGAGCGATGCTCTGATGATAATCATTAGACGAAGGCAGACGGATTGTGAAAGTTGCGGACTTTAGGGTTGCGAAGAAATAAATAACTATTTCATATATTCTATTAGGAATACAAAATATGCAAAGAAACTTATAATTGATTAAATAATGTTATGAGGAATATCAAAATTTTATCTTAAAATTTTGTCGCATACATAATATATAATATGTTAATGTTTTAATTCGACCTTAGAAAAAATATTATTTTTATGAGGCTATATGTAAATATGCATGGCTATGCAAATATGTTTTGCTTTGCTAAATCCTAGTCACATGTTTTTATCATATTTTCTACGTCGGCAACCTTAGGCGCGTTCCCATGACGAGCACCCGTTTGTACACGGAAGCGAGAACGTCTCATTTTATCATTAATATAATCTTTATTCGGAAGCAATAAGAGCTTCATATAAAACAAATAGTTCAATTGTATCTGGTGGAAATAAACCCTCCAGTCCGACTATTACCATTTACTTCTATTTCCTTACACGTTATCTAAACTTCTATATAGGTATCTAAATAGTTGTTTTTTAAGAAAATTTCTTCAATAATGGCAACATAGTTGATTATAACCGAGCGTATTTTATTTTATGTGTATAACCTTTGCAAGTTTAATGACCACATGTCCATAACAACCTGAACACATTGTCAAGTACAAAACATGTCAGCGAGGCAATGATGCGGATGAAACCACTCAGTGGAACCATCCCGCCTCTCCTTCCCCCATATAATACCACCAAATTAAAAATGTCTTTCTATTCAACCGCCATCTAACACAGGACGGCGATTTAATTTTTATAGTTAACACTTAAGTTTGAGTTCTGGTAAATGTACCAAATTAAAAAGACGTTCGGATGTCCTAAGAGTTGAGAAACATTTGTTGACTTAACGTTGCCGTATTAAAGCACTTATCTCACGCTTGAGTGATCCCAGACTCGTCTGGCAAGTGAACTAATAAGGGCAAACTTGGTACTTGGTTGACGACATAATAATTTTTTTATATATAAAACATGTCCCTAAGGGCTTTGCACTTGCTTTTTATATGAAGATACGACCGTTAGCTGCACGTACCCTGGCATGAAGAAAGTATTATTAAATTGTCCGAGATGTTTAAAGTGCGAGTTGGATTTTTGATGGCAATTATTTTCGTTTTACAGTCTTAAATACAAAGATCTGTACGATAATTATTGTGGGAAAAGTAATTACTAACCGATCGAATATATCGTCAGCATTATCTACAAAATTTGTCATGGTTGCCAGTTATAGATCAAATTCCTTGACGGAAAACAACAAAAAAGAGTAATAATGTTGTCGGTGTCGAACAATTGGAAGTGTATTCATAAGATACGGGCGCTCTTTTAGTTTTTTAACATGACGATCTCCGAACCAATATATTTGAATGTCCAAAAAGCCGGTCAACACGCAGGCTGAGGCGTGCATTAAACATTCAAATATGCGCACAAAACCGGCATTAGCCTGCAGCCGCCGGACATTCTTATTGTGGCTTGTGATCCGAAATCGTGACGATCGCGCGTGGTACAATATTACAGCGGATTATACTTTTGATTGTAGATTAAAGATGCTTTACTACCAATTAATATTCTAAATCATATTCAATATGATGTCTGTAGCTTCTTAAACTTGTATACCTGTCGCCATTTAATTGGAATTTCATGTAAATATATTTTTTTTATTACATAATTGAAATTAGTTCGGTTGATATATATTTAATTTAAAATTAGAAATTGTTTAAAATATATCTTTGTAAATGTGTACAAATATTATTTAATATGTTTTCACATTGAACCTGGACTAGGAGATCCGCGACATGCCCTCGCGCATAGGGCGTGGCCTCCCCTCTCTAACCACCATTTTGGTAGATACGATAAGGTCTCAATAGGGCATGTCAGCTATACAAATTCTTGCACAATGTTTTATTGTCCTATGCTACAGCTCTTGTATTTGATTATTGTACTAAGCTGATATCAGTTAGCCTTTGAAAGTTGAAACAGACTAAGTACGAGTTATAACGAGTCAAGTCGAATAACCTTTTGCAATTTAAATGTACATATTGTAATAGTAAATGATGGACATCTCTTTTAAGATGTACGGGACACTTTCATCCCAGACAAGAGTGTCCCTCATACATTTTTATGCCGTAAAAAGACAAGTTTTACATCTTTTACGAGTTAATACACTTACTTTGTTGCGACCATTATTCATTATGTTTTATGAACTCAGGACATTGTTCAATCTCCAGTAAATAATATGAGACTGACAATTTTACAGTTCTGTAATAAAGAAAACAATATAATTTAATCTCCAATAACATTCTCAATATTCAGATAGATATCGACATGTTGCATAAATAGTTTGCTAATATAAAATTTGTTCCAAATAATTATTTATATAGTATGGTAAAGACATCAATATTGAAAACTGAAAACTTGCAGGTTTCACGGGAACACAGTGCGAGGTGGAGATAGATGAGTGTGCTAACAACCCATGTCTTAACGGCGGGGTCTGTCACGATATGATAAACGCCTTTAGATGTACCTGTGTCATAGGGTAAGTAATATAAGACAAAATGAAGTCATTAATAGTCATATAAATACAAATTAAATGTCAATCCAGTTTCAATTTAAGCATGAATATAATCTTGCATATCTTCCCTCACAGATTCACAGGTGCCCGTTGCCAAGTGAACATCGACGACTGCGCCTCGAGCCCGTGTCGGAACGGCGGCACCTGCCACGATTCGATCGCGGGTTACACTTGCGAATGTCCTCCGGGTTACACGGGTATGATTTACCACTTAAAACTTCATCTCCTCCACACCTGCCGCCCACTCAGTGTGTGCTATAATTAGATGGTTGTTATCTCAGGAATGTCGTGTGAAACAAACATTAATGACTGTCTGTCGGCGCCGTGTCATCGCGGGGAGTGTATCGATGGTGACAACAGCTTCACTTGCAACTGTCACCCCGGGTACACAGGCCGGGTGTGTCAAACCCAGATCAATGAGTGCGAATCAAATCCTTGCCAGTTTGGAGGTGAGTTGAGTGTTTATAAATATTAAGTTTTTATTACTATTTTTGTGGGCTGCGATTTAAAACTTAAGAGTATAATGCGAAATGGGGGAAGTTTTTTACAATGGTTAAATTTTCAGGCCACTGTGAAGATCTCATCGATGGGTACCAGTGTCGCTGTAAACCTGGAACATCTGGACGCAATTGTGAGATCAACGTCAATGAATGCTACTCAAACCCTTGCAGGAATGGGGCGACTTGCATCGATGGAATTAACAGGTTAGTACTATGAATAATCTGTTCATGATATCTGTATATACACAGGGCCGTTTTATCCATTAGGCATTATAGGCAACTGCCTAGGGGCCCTGCCACGTTCAGGGGCCCCTGTGCTACAGGGAAAAGAATGGGCAATGTTTCTTAAACAGTAAAAAATTAATTTGAAAATTTGCTCTGTACATTACATCGACGCTATTTTAGTATATTTCGGAACGCATTCCTTATTAGATATTATTATTATGATTATTATTATAGTTTAAAAGTTTATAACGCAGTAATATAATTGCAAGCAATTTTATCGCGGCAATTTAATTAAAAACGCTCAAAATTCTTTGTTGTGAATGCACACTTACTATACTGGTACCTACCAAGTATGTATATTCTATGGCCAAGCTACTTTCATAAGGTTAAATTCATTGGCTATAAATTATAATGGCAATTGAAAATGACGTGTTGGAGAAGATTACCTTTCAGGATATCTTGAACGATTTTGTATCAAAAAAAGTTAGAAGAGTTAATATTTAAGCTACGTATGTTTTTTTTAAATGCATAAATAAACATTCTGTTCATTTGATTCAACATTTTCATTGAATAATATGATGATTAGTAAAAAACGGTGTAATTTTGAATTTTGTTGTGTTAACGAAAAAATTAGAAGAGGGTAGGGGGCCCTGGATGAGCATTGCCTAGGGGCCCCGACAGGCATAACCCGGCCCTGTATATACATATATGTATATAGAAATAGAAATATATTCCTCTTTGGGCTTTTTATTGCTTCATTTGTATAATGTTGTACCTGGCGTGGGTATATTTTACAATTTTTCTTCTTTCTCCTATCTCTGCACTTTTAGCTTTAAGATCAAAAATCTTTTTTTAAATATTTTAATGGTATATTTTTCTCTTCCACGCAGCAACAGTTACTTTGAGTAAGTGCTTTTACAATTACAGCATGGACTTTTATTGCTTTCTTCTTTTTACTGCTGCGTATTTAGTAGGCGATATAGTGATCGATTGAAGAAACTGTTTAATTTGTGATCATAATATACCTTTGTTTTCACTTTGCTCCTTTCTTTACAAACTAAATTTTAAATTTATCCGACTGATTTTAGAGAAATTGAATTGATATGTCATTAAACATGATAAATTTGAAAAAATGACTTAGAAAATTTCACAGAGAAAATACATAATAATAACTAAAATCCATTTGCATGGATATATATTGTTTTGATTTATAACAAAATTTGTTAAGCATGTCGTGTGTCTACATAAAACCTAAATTAGCTCATCTGAATATGTATTAATAATATATTGTGGTACTCAGGTACACTTGCGAATGCATCCCGGGCTTCACTGGTCAACACTGTGAGACCAATATCAACGAATGTCTGTCTAACCCTTGCGCCAATGGTGGCAAATGCATCGATCGCATTAATGGCTTCCGATGCGAATGCCCACGAGGATATTACGACGCTAGGTAAGTAGACCTGGGTAGATCTGGAAATTCCCAAAAATTTATTTTGTTGAACATTCCTCTAAATTATTAAATATTTCACAGGTGCCTATCGGATGTGAACGAATGCGCCTCGAACCCATGCATCAACGGTGGAACTTGTGAAGACGGCGTAAACCAATTCATCTGTCATTGTTTGCCAGGATATGGAGGTATGTTGTTATTATGAATAAACATAACGAACCCTAATATAAAACATTTTAATGTACTTGATGAAATAAGATGATTATTCCACGCAAATTTTAACTATTTTCTATCACGCTCCAGGTCAGCGATGCGAGCGTGATATCGACGAATGTAGCTCGAACCCTTGTCAGCACGGTGGAACGTGTCATGATAGACTGAATGCTTACAAGTGTGACTGTGTACTGGGATTCACTGGTTAGTAGATCACCAGTCACATATCAATCTTCTTATTTCAAGGTTATTAATGATCGATTTCATTCAGGTGTGAACTGCGAGACTAATATCGACGATTGTGCGGGCAACCCTTGCTTGCATGGAGGGTCGTGCATTGATCTCGTAAACGGATACCGCTGTGTCTGCGAGCCTCCACACTCGGGACGTAACTGCGAAAACACCTTGGACCCCTGTCTGCCTAACCAGTGAGTTACATTTATTAATACTGAGCTGTTCTATTTAACACTCAACGACAAGTGCAGTCTTAAGAAGAATCCAGAATATAGGCTTCACTTATTATAAAGAATATATATTTCTCTACTAGCTGCACCCCGCGGTGTTACCCGCGGATTTCCGGGATGTAAAGTAGCCTATATTTTATTCCTGGACGTCAGCTTCCTGTATACAAAATTTTATCAAAATCGGTTCAGCCGTTTGATCGTGAAGAAGTAACAAACAAACACACACATTCACAAACTTTCACAATTATAATATTAGTAGGATTTGTTTTCTGATATATATAATTTAATATATTGCCTGATATGGGCGATAGCAGAAAAAACTGACCATAAAGCTTATCAATAACTTAATTTCTGGTACAGATGTCGTCACGGTGGCCGCTGCATGGCGGAAGCGTCTTACGCGGAGTTCACTTGCCAATGTCCTGTGGGTTGGACAGGAGCCTTATGTGAGAGGGACGTGGATGAATGTGCGGTCACAGCGCCCTGTCATAACGAAGCCACCTGTCTTAATAAGGAAGGCTCCTACGCTTGTCTTTGTGCTAGAGGATACGAAGGCAAAGACTGCGCAATCAACACAGACGATTGTGCTTCATGTGAGTGCAAAATATGTTACATTTAGTTTAGATCTTATTTATTACTATTTGTGGTTAAAGATATACAGGGTGACTGGTGAATTACTATCAATATTTAAGGAGCATACTCGGTACATGAGTCTCATTCGAATTATGTAAAAAAAATAGCTACTTAATTTTTGACCAAATTTCCGTATAAATAAATAAAGTGTGTACACGTTCCAAGTGTTCCAAGTGTGGACGCGTGCGGCGGCGTGCTGATACAACACCACGCCGCCGCCGCGTCTGTGTGAGTGTGTGTGTATACCTAATCTGTAGGGTGTTCATACGATGCGTAATTAATTACATAACTTTTGGTTAACTTTACTTAGAAGTTTATTAATATTTATGTTATATTAATTTTTATTTTGTCATATATGATCGTCAAATATCACGTCCTCAAATATCGATAGTAATTCACCAGTCACCCTGTATATATTTTTTAATCCCATTATGATATTATTATCACTTAAATGAGAATTACACTTATAACAAAACATTTATGGAATACAGTTAGATATAGCATTGTAACAAAAATTAATTGACGATGAGTATGTAGTTGTTTCAAATATATAAAGCTTAACTAAGAGACTTTTTTCTATATTAAGTACTAATTTAACGTATTGTATTAGGTTTAATTATTTATTATTTAAAATATACACAGTAAGTCCTTTTGCACTTGCACATTGTTTGACAGTATTTTGTACGAATCTTATGTAGAACGAGAGAGCTAGCTCGACGTGTGTTACGATTGTCGTTTGACACTTGTTTGTTGAACGTTATATGAATATAAATATATTTGATTATATGTATTATTAAGAATTATATGAAGGCCGTATTGTATTTTCCACAGTCCCATGCCAGAACGGTGCAACATGTTTGGACAGTATAGGTGACTACAACTGTGTGTGTGCGAGCGGGTTCGCCGGAAAACACTGTGAGGTTGACATAGATGAGTGTCAGTCACGACCCTGTATGAACGGCGCTACATGCAACCAGGTAAGAACTATTCAATTCATTATTTGTTTAAGTGCATTTTTACTGCTTTTTCTGTCAATTTAATTAAAATACTATAACTACATTTGACCAGCTTTATAATTAAAATAGAATCTAGTACTAGGGACGTATCAATGATTTAAGTATAAGATAAAGTATAAATTTTACAATGCCAACGTGTTCTGATTGTTAATCTACTTAAAAGATAGTCTTTCTTTCTTTCTTAATCTTTCGGGCTTTAGGTAAACTTGTTTAAAACTACTTACAATATACATCTAGTACTTTTGTATACTTCTAGTACTTCTAGTACTTACAATATACTTCTACTACTTCTAGTACGTGGCCTCCTACACCTGCACTTGCCCATTGGGTTTCTCCGGCATAAACTGTCAGACTAACGACGAGGACTGCACCGAGTCCAGTTGTATGAACGGCGGTACTTGTATAGACGGCATCAACTCCTACAACTGTTCCTGTCCGCCTGGGTATGTTTTGTTATACTGAATTATTACATTTATATATTTATTTCTTCTCCATAAAAAAATTTACTAATTATTAATAATATTTTCTTCGCAGGTACACTGGTTCTAACTGCCAGTTTCGTATTAACATGTGTGATAGCTCGCCCTGTGATAACGGCGCTACATGTCATGATCATGTTACTTTCTACACCTGCCACTGTCCTTACGGATACACCGGGAAGCATTGCGAGGCTTTTGTGGATTGGTAAGATAGTCATTCATGATAAAATTTAATATGACTACTAACCCAATAATTATGTATATATTTATATTAATAATAAGGAAAATTAATTCATGGATTTATTTTATATCAGGTGTGAGAACAATCCGTGCGAGAACGGCGCAACGTGTTCCCAGAAAGGCCCACAGTATACATGCACGTGTTCACCTGGCTGGTCGGGCAAGCTGTGTGATGTAGAGATGGTGTCTTGTAAAGACGCTAGTATACGGAAAGGTATGCAAAAGTTAAATTTTCTTTAAATGCGAAATGTAAAGCGTAACTTCAATATATTATGTTTTATATAGTGATGATCATTAATATGGTTTCATCTTTTTCCAGGTGTAAAGTTAAAGCAGCTGTGTAACAACGGTTCTTGTGAGGACATTGGCAACTCTCATCGCTGTCATTGTCTCGATGGTTACACGGGTTCCTACTGCCAGAAGGAAATCAACGAGTGTGACTCCGCCCCCTGCCAGAATGGAGCCGTTTGTAAAGACCTCGTCGGTACCTACCAGTGTCAATGTGCTAAAGGTTTCCAAGGACAAAACTGTGAACTTAACGTCAACGATTGTCTGCCTAATCCATGTCAGAATGGCGGAACATGCCATGATCTCATAAACAACTTCTCTTGTTCATGTCCTTTCGGAACGCTCGGGAAAATATGTGAAATTAACGTCAACGATTGCAAACAAGACGCTTGTCATAATAACGGTACTTGTATGGATAAAGTTGGTGGTTTTGAATGCAAGTGTCCTGCTGGCTTCGTAGGTCCTAGATGTGAAGGTGACATAAACGAATGCTTATCAAACCCGTGCTCGAACCCTGGCACTCAAGACTGTGTACAGCTAGTTAATGATTATCATTGTAACTGTAAGCCGGGCTACATGGGTAGGCATTGCGACGCTAAGGTAAACTTCTGTGCTAATTCACCGTGTCAAAACGGCGGTATTTGCACCGCTATCCAAGGTGGACATGAGTGTTTGTGTGGTGACGGATTTTATGGCAAAAACTGTGAATATTCGGGCTACGCGTGTGATTCGAATCCTTGTCAGAATGGCGGGTACTGTCGAACATCAGAAATCGGTGACTATGTTTGCGACTGTCCATCCGGATTATCTGGTATTAATTGTGAAATCGATTCTATGAATGAATGTCTTAGTAGCCCGTGTAAGCATCCTGAAGCTCGTTGTATTGATAAACCTGGTGATTTCCTCTGCTACTGCCCAAGACAATGGACAGGTAAAATCTGTGAAATACACGATCCTCATTCAAGGGGTGGCTACGGAAGTCCCGTATCTGGAGTATATGGCAAAAACCCTGCGTTAACACTGCAAGAACTAGACTTAGCATTCCAAAGAGAACAATGTGTAAAATTAGGATGCAAAGAAAAACAATCGGACCACCATTGTGACGAAGAATGTAACACATATGCATGCGACTTTGATGGAAATGATTGTTCTCTTGGTATCAATCCATGGGCGAATTGTACCGCTCCAATTAAATGTTGGGAAGTTTTTATGAACGGCGAATGTAACGAAGTATGTAATACACAGGCTTGTTTATTTGACGGTCGAGACTGCGAGAAATCCCTGCAGAGATGTAATCCTGTATATGATGCGTATTGTCAAAAGCATTATGCCAATGGTCATTGTGACTACGGATGCAATAATGCTGAGTGTAATTGGGACGGTCTCGATTGTGAAAATGAGCCTCCCGATTTAGCTGAAGGTGTTATGTCTGTCATATTACTTATGGACATGCTTACGTTCAAAGAAAATTCCGTAGCCTTTTTACGTGATTTGGGCCATCAACTACGGACTACCATACTAATAAAAAGAGATCATTTGGGCAATGAAATGGTATTTCCCTGGAAGGGTTCGACAGACGTAGGTCTCCAAGATACTGAATTTGGAAAGAAACACCACATAGTCTATACAGAGAGAGGTCAATCTGGAGTTCAAGTTTATTTGGAAATTGATAACAGAAAATGTACTACCATGTCTGGTTCCGAATGTTTCTTCTCAGCTAGAGAAGCAGCTGAGTTCTTGGCAGCAACAGCGTCAAAACATTCACTATCTCCAGACTTCCCCATTTTCCAAGTAAAAGGTGTCAATACTCCGGAAAATGAACCATTACCAACAAACTCTAAATATGTTTTTATTGGTGTAATTATGATTCTTTTACTGGGTCTTCTTATTGGAGTACTTGTCACGGCACAAAGAAAACGTGCCGCTGGTATAACATGGTTCCCAGAAGGATTTATTCGCAACAACTCTTCAACCCGACGTCGTTCTAGACGAAGAGGACCTGATGGGCAAGAAATGAGGAATTTGAACAAAGCTTCGATAGGATGTATAGATGTTGATATCAATGGTGGTCACATGGGTCCGCCTCACTGGTCCGATGAGGATGACGATGGTTCAGCTCCTCCCAGAGCCAAGAGAGCCCGTGGTCCTGGAGACACGAATGGAGCACCAGGAGGCTACGCTTCGGACCATACAGCGATTACTGACTATGAAGAAGCTGGCCATGAACCTAGAGTATGGACGCAACAACATTTAGATGCGGCAGATATTAGAGTGCCGCCTAGTATGATGACACCACCTGCTATCGTAAGTGACCAAAACATTAATATATATATTTTATATCTTAAATCTATCATTTATTAACTATGTTATCTTTTCTTCTATAGCACGACGGTCATGTAGACGTGAACGCTCGCGGTCCACTTGGTATGACGCCTCTCATGGTGGCGGCCATACGAGGTGGAGGTTTGGACACTGGCTCGGACGTGGAAGACGAACAAACTGCTCATATCATATCCGAGTTGGTAGCCCAAGGAGCTCAACTTAATGCTGCTATGGACAAGACTGGGGAAACTAGCTTACACTTGGCTGCCAGGTAAGAAATATTGCAACCCTTTTTTTATGAATATGTATTAATAAAAACGAGTTCATGAATTGAATGGGCATCGTTATTGTTATTTGATAATTAAAAACAATTTTAAGCAACATTATTTTCAATGAGCAATTAAACTCTCCAGGTACGCTCGTGCGGACGCCGCCAAACGTCTATTAGACGCAGGGGCTGATGCAAATTCTCAAGACAATACTGGAAGAACGCCGCTGCATTCCGCTGTGGCTGCGGACGCCATGGGAGTGTTCCAGATCCTGTTGAGGAACAGGGCCACTAACCTGAACGCAAGGATGCATGATGGCACCACTCCATTAATATTGGCTGCTAGGTTAGTCATTGGCAACTTTCTTTGTCTGAAATATCACGTACCTTTGGAAGAACTCTCTTCGGAACTAATTTCTTTCTTGACTGGTCCCATTTTTTTATATATATGTAATTTTTTTATATATGTAACTTGTAGCTGAATATTTGATTAACGTCTAATACATAGTTTTCCCTTTCAAGTGGTTTTAGTGTCTTATTTTATAGAAATAAACATAGTAATAATAGCTGGTTTCCTTCTCTAGGTTGGCCATCGAAGGTATGGTTGAAGACTTGATTAACGCGGATGCGGACATCAATGCTGCCGACAACAGTGGTAAGACAGCGCTTCACTGGGCCGCTGCTGTCAACAACGTGGATGCAGTCAACGTGCTGTTAGTCCATGGGGCTAATAGAGACGCTCAAGATGACAAGGTATTGATAACAGATCGTACATAAATAGATATCCAAATCCAATTTTTAATATAATGAACCACCTGTAACCTAAGTTAATACGTTTTTAATATAATGTAATAAATGATTTATAAACTTCCTAATATTTGCATGCTGTATCTGCCTTAAAAGATAATACATTTCGAATTAAGCTACACTGTATTTCTTTTGACCCAATATTGTATTAATGTAATTATCGCTGGTGGATCTTAATAAATAAAATAAAATATCACTCCCTGATAAAACATAATACCCATTATCAGATACTTACAGTTCTGGCTTTCTATAGAAATTTGTTAAATATTACTTATTTCTTCTATCAGGACGAGACTCCTCTATTCCTTGGTGCGCGCGAGGGTTCGTACGGCGCGTGCAAGGCGTTGTTGGATGCGATGGCCAACCGCGAGATCACCGACCACATGGACCGTCTCCCGCGGGACGTGGCTCAAGAACGGATGCACGACGACATCGTCAGACTCCTCGACGAACACTGCCCGCGACCTCCACAACACCACCACTTGATGGGTACTTATATATTGAGATATATACTACTATATCATAAGTATATTTTTAAGAACTTATCAACTGTGCCACATGAATCATATGATTGAAGACCTACATATGTGACATAGTTTAGGACGCACTTTAGCAAAAGTTTCTGGAAGATTGATTTCATTTAAATAAGAGTGTTTGATATCAGAGACAGTGTGCATTTGATGAAGATAGTTTCGCAGACTAATTTTTATTGCATCACAGGAATAATGGTTACATCCATGTTTCTAAATACATTTTTATAAATCGCCTGAGTTTAATCACAACTAATATCTCAATACGACTGAATTCTTTGCAACAGGTACTGACTTCCCCTCTTCCACAGCGTCTCCGAACCCTCATCCTCAGCTCATCAGCCAGCCCACAGTCATCGCAGGGAAGGGAAAGAAAAAACCAAGAGCGAAGCCCGGTCCGGACAGCCCTCAGGAGCAATATGACTCCACCATGCAACCTTCGCAGATACGACGGTACTTATATCATTTATATACAATATTTCGATTCCTTCTAGTAATATTGGTAAACTTAATAAGGTTTGGAATAACACATTCTATTTGGTTTATCGAGAAATGAACATAAAAACCTTAAAGTAAGATGAACTTTGATGTGTGGAAAGTAAAGCTCAATGTTGTGCAGTTTATTATATAAAAAAAATTACTATCAATAAATAACGTTGGTATTATGTAATATTCTAATTGTGAATTACAGGAAACCAAGTGTAAAAAAGAACAACAAGAAAGTGGCTCAAGAGGTGCCGCAGAGCGTCGAGAGTTTGGGATTCAGTCTGAGCCCCGTGGAATCACCGCTGCAAAATTTACAGGTGAATAAAACTTCGGCTTCTAAAACTCCCAGTATTATTATACCGAGTTGAGCCTTTAACTTGGTCACTGCCCGTCAGTAGTTATCAAAGAAACCATTGAAAACCAGCATTAGGTGTCCACGCCTATTAATTGCTGAATGATATACCTATTTGGGACACGTCTTATACATATGTATATTGTAATAGCATTTTTTTCTTTTAATTTTTTTTTTAATTGTTATAAGTTGTCTTTTTGGTTTATGTTTTTTTTTTTTGTTGTTTTATTTCTTATTTTTGAAATAACTGATATTTCATCATTTTTGTACGGTCCCAAATAAAAAATGTTCTTTCTTTCATTGTGATGGACCAATGTGAATGGTATAATGAAATTCTGTTGCCATAGTTTCTAACCGATCTTTAACCCCAGGACCTTCCGTCTCCGTACGACGCGACATCTTTATACTCCAACGCGATGGCGCAGTTCCCGCCCGTGGAGCAGCTCGTGCACAAACAGCCGCCCAGCTACGATGACTGCGTCAAGGTATATACACATGTATGTCACAGACTATACGAATTATACATATATTTATTCTTTACGGTTATTCTTCTTGGCAATTTCCCAGCTTTAGCAAGGGTCTGCCAGGGTTATTATTTAAGATTAATATTGTCTCGTATTTCCTAAAAATAAAGCATAAACATTATGGTAATATCATGAAAGCAGTCTTTTAATTTGTGTTGTAATTATTTGATACTTTAGAATATTCAAGCCTAAGTTAAGTCTAGTTTAACGGAAAAATATTTTCGACCAAATCGTTGTTTCTTGTCATCATTTCTTATAACTAATATTTCTTACAGACGGGTCAATCTCTTCAGTACGGGGGCGCAGGCTTGGGAGCCTCTCTGTCACCGCCCTACTCCAACCACTCACCAACACACAGCAATCAAACGACGTCTCCGCACGCTTATATAGGTAAGACCTTTATCACACACGTGTAAGGATTTGAAGATGTCAATATGAGAATAAAATAATTGCTGATTTAAAGTAGCCGAAACGTCGGGAGTATGTAGTTTATAGTGGAAAATAAATCGCGTAGTAAATCCGAATATATTAGTTTCATTTAAATGAGTACTCGCGAAAAATTTTAGATCTCATTATAAAACAATCAATAATCAGTTAAAGCATATGCATTTAACAAAATATGTTCGAAATAATTCACATAAATTTGAAATCATTTCACACTTCTACTCTGAAAATTTTTAAGACTTTTTTTGTCTTTCTTCACCTTGACAAAATTCAAATAGCTATAATATCTTATATGTATGAGCTAGTTTCTTATTTCCCTATTATTCCTCCAGGTTCCCCCTCCCCCGGCAAGTCCCGGCCGTCTCTGCCAACATCACCAGCCCACATGGCGGCGCTGCGTCATCACCACCTCGACGCAAACGCATACTCCGCTCTTGCGCATCTGAGTAAGTACATACTACTTGCATCCATTGAGTTGTGATGGTTATTTTGTTTAATAAATCATTCATTCTGATAAATACTCGTTAATTTTCGTTTTCCTATTTCATTGGTTGTTTTTCTTTTAACATGACTGTAGCTATTAGCCCCAATGGCTCTGACAGCGTCATCGTAAGACCTCTTACAATCGTATACCCGTCTATACTCCTAGTGTATTGACATGTTCTGTAACCTATATGTTTTTGTTCAGGTGCGAACGGTCAACACAACGCCCAACTACAGGCGGTGATGACTCACGCGGCGGCTCTAGGACACGTGCAGGGAGCGCAGCATCCCGCCATCACCAACATCATGTCCGGTCAGTATATATAACATATAGCATTAATGTCATATCATATATAATATGACCAAAACTATGTCAAGGAATTATGGGTATAATGTTGGGGAAGTTGGAAAGAATCGAAAGGAATTCCTTTCCTTCATCTGCTGGTTTATCAGTATCAGAAACACTATGACCAAAAACGGAATTTATTTTTCACTATCCCATTTTTATCAAGTACTTTGCAAAAACGATGAAGCTATTTACTAAATCAACATATAAAAAGTTATTTTGTCAATACAGATGATTTCTTATGTTAGTCTTGTATAAAGCTTATGTAACTTTTTATGTGCTCCCTTACTAAATCAACATATAAAAAGCTATTGGGTCAAACTGTAGGGTCTCTTATATATAAACTAGCTTTTGCCGCGACTCCGTCCGCGTGGAATAGTGACTTACGGCAGATTTTTGGTTCTTCCCACATAGTTCCCGTTCTTGTGGGGTTTTCGGAATAGTCGAGTTCCCGCAGAATTTTCAGGACAAAACCTATGTTTTTTTTTTATTCACAATGAAGTACTCTTAACCAAAAACATATTTATTTGTTTATTTTAATAAAGATTAATATTATTATGTTGATCCAACTTAAACAAATTATTTCGACCAAATTAGCTACCATAAAAACGGTTTTTGTGAGTTAATCTTAAAAGATAGACATATACTGTTGCGGACTATTTTTTAGATCATTAAAAGAGCTATCATTCTTTAATACATATTTTTTGTGTATCTTGAACCGTTTTCACGGCGCACGCAACGAAAGGCTTTAAAGATGAAATAATTTCTCCCGTTTTTTATACATTTACCACTATATCTTTGCTCCTATTGGTCGTAGCGTGATGTTATATAGCCTACAGCCTTCCTCGATAACTGGACTATTCAACACAAAAAGAATTATTCAATTTGAACCAGTAGTTTCGGAGATTAGCGCTTTCAAACAAACAAACAAACAAACAAACTCTTCAGCTTTATAATATTAGTATAGATGTCATGTTTATGTAACGTTTTATGTATTTTTCAGGTCTATACGGCAGCTGGGGTATGGGTGACACGTTCCCGACCCCGTCCCCCGAGTCCCCCGACCACTGGTCCTCGCCGTCCCCGCAGACCCCGCTCACTCAGTCACCCCACTCAGACTGGTCGGACCGCGCCGCTCTCTCCCCCAACGACCTGCAACAAACAAACAAAGGCGCGACCGACGCCTTCTATATATAAACTACGAACGCTCCTCACATATAACATATAGGAAATTAAATTAAAATTTGTAATTAACGGCCTGTATTAAGACTATGAACGGCTGCTTAAAGTTAACTAAGTTTTGTTGAGTTGAGAAGAACTCGAGGTGCTAGTGCCGTGGATAGACTGATTTGTATAGCCATGACTTATTTTAGAGCAAATTTATATGACAATCACATGACATAAGTTACTTGGTTTATACTGAGAGGTATTATAGTTTGTAGCACCGACATGACATTACCGTGCACCCATAAAACCCGCGCCCTTGTTATTGTTAAATGCTCTTTTATTGTTTAAAAATATTTAAAAAAATGGGAATTATGTATCCACTTATGAGATTGTTTTGCGTTCTGACGTGAAAGGAAATTATTTATGTGTGATTCTTTAGCACGTAATCCCTGTACTTTAGTGTATGTAGATTTTTATATAAGTTACGTTTAGTTTAAGTTGAATGAGATTGACGTTTGTAGTCTTTGAGTTTTCATTTGATATTTTGTTTATTTTTTTTTCTTTTATTTCTGATTCGCGTCAATCTCTGTTCAGTGATTCCATACTTAGTAATTTCCGCTTATCATTCCAAACGCTTCCATGTTTTATGGTGACTTATTTTATAGTTTTTACCGAAATCTATATATTTTTTTTATCGTCACCTCGAATATTCCAAAAGTACGCTACGTACGGTAAGATCTCATCATTCCATTTTTTTGCTTTAAAGTGTTCTTTTTAATCTGTGGACCAACATGCTCAATTTTGTCAAATTCATCATTATCTATGTATTTGTATTATATTATCGTTAAGTGAATATTTTTTTTGTTAGCTAAGTTTTTAAAACTGCTGCAGACGTGAACTTCGCCTACATTATTGTAAATATTATATTTTAACGCATTATTTAAATATTAAAAAGAAACTCGAATCGTAAAATGATCTTCGTAGTTTTATATAGTTTTAGTTTTAATTTTGTGTCATTGTTATGTGCCAATGAGCCAAGTTTAAAAAAATAACTTTTTAAAATTCGATGAAAAAACGGGCCCGGATTTTTGTTTAAGGCTCTTTAAAACATTCTGAACCTTTCTCTAGATCTTATGTATTACTAGTATAATTAAGTAGTGTACGTTATCGAAACGCGTGCTTCCTTAAAATGCATTCTTTTAATTAAATGATTTGTAATAAATAAATAACAAATGGATGTTAGACATTGCATTGTAAAGTACAAAATTGAAGTTCGATTAAGTGTTGCCATTTTATTGAAATAAATTATTAAAGGAATTTATTATTAATATTAATGTCATTTGTAAGATTTTTTAATGGCAAGAATATAAAAAAGACGTACAAATCTTGGCACATTGTTAAAGGCATTAATGCATGTAAAGTGGGGCACAAATTTGTCAATTTCGTTGTGCCTTCAAATATTAAGTATTGTAAAACTATTATGGATAGTATAAGTTATAAGAGTAAGCGTGTAAATACATTTTTATTATTATTTTTATGAAATGCATTTCACTGTAAGATTTTAAAATTTGAGGAGAATAATTTTTAAATATTTTCCCCTAACTGACAATAAAGGAATAAACTTAAAATTTGTATTTTTATTAGTATTATTAATCAATTATAATTACGGATATTAGTAACGCTAAAATAAAATGAATATCATTTTAAAGTGATAAAATATTTTATTTTTTTTGTAACACCAAGAAATTCAGATGACACATCATTTGTAGAAAGTTGCTGTCAATTTTTACATATATCGGCTCATAATCACCAAGGTTGCAAATTTTAAAATTAGTTAAAAAATACGCTAGCTATAATGATGACCCTTAGTTTATATTGTCCCAAAATTTAAATATTCATAAACATTGAGAGGGCAGTGTACAGGATTCTATATATTTTTTGTAATACTGCTTTATAATGGATAATTAGCAGAAAACTATCATTCCTGGAAAGTTCTTCTAAGTTGGATAAAATGACCCAAAAACCAAAAGAAATACATAATTAAGGCGTTGTCAAATAGCATGGATATATAATTTATCTATATTATATAAGCAATAATGAAAACAAAAGGCATATTTCTTATAGCAAAATACGTCAAAAAATTAAACAAATTGCAACTACAGGACAAAAATCAAGTAATGAAACTAACATTTTCAGATTTACTACACGATTTTTAATTTTTGACTATAAACTCGTCACATCTTGTCTGTCCGTGATCACGGTTACTGCAAAGTAACCGAAACGTCGGGAGTATGTATTGGGTTGGCAACTAAGCATTGCCGATTTCAAATATGAAGGCAAATTCGGAATTTTTGTTTAAAAATATAACTTTATTCAATTCGATATCGGCCATTTTTGGCCATTTTTACAGAATTTTTGTAGATGACCTTTTTCCATCGTTCTGGCAGAGTAAAAATTCCCCGTTCGTAAAATGTCTGGTCTTTGCCATTAAAAAACTGAATTAGATGTGATCCGACGTCATCCGCGTTGTTAAAAATTTTACCATTTAAAGGGTTTTGCATGGAACGAAACAAATGGTAATCCCAAGGTGCAAGGTCAGGGCTATATGGTGGGTGTGACAAAACATCCCAACCCAGTTCCAATAATTTTTGCCGAAAAACCAAAGATGTGTGGGGCCTTCCGTTATCATGATGGGAAACAACACCCTTCCAATTTGATAATGCCGGCCGTTTTTCATCACACGTACAACATACACATTTGAATTTATAGTTTTGGTTCTGCAGCATGAGTTCAAAATACAAAATTCCCTTGTGATCCCACCAGAGCGACAGCATAATCTTTTTTTGGTGAATCTCTGCTTTTGATATTGTTTGGGCTGGTTGATCTTGCTTCACCCATGATCTCTTGCGAGTAACATTGTTATAAACTATCCACTTTTCGTCGCCAGTAACTAGGTTCTTCAGAAATGGGTCTTTCTCATTGCGTTTCAGTAGCGAATCACAGATGCTAATCCTTTGCGTCAAATGAATTTCCTTTAACTGGTGAGGGATCCATAAATTAAGTTTCTTGACATAACCAAGGGTTTTTAATTTTTTTTCAATGCATGTATGCGACACATTGAGCTTCTCTGCAATATCCCGTGTTGTGCTGTGACGATTTGAATCGATAATGGCCTTGATATGGGTTTCATCCACTTCGACTGGGCGGCCAGATCGTTGTGAATTTTTCAGTGAAAAATCACCGGAACGAAATCTTTCAAACCAATTTCGACACTGCCTTTCTTTTAAGGCTTTATCTCCATATACGGCACATAATTTCTTTTGTGCCTGCGATGCGTTCTTGCCTTTTCGGAAGTAATACAATAAAATGTGTCGGAAGTGCACATCCTGTTCTTTCATTTTTAAATTGGGATAAAAACAAAACTAAAGGACTAATCAAAAAAATGTTTTTTACTAATTAAACGTAGAAGCCCATACAGTAAGAAAAAAATATAGGTTAGATGCTCTGTCCATGTTAACAAAACAAAAAAAAGTGTAGAGTGAACTATCAACAAAAACGGCAATGACTTAGTTGGCAACCTATTAGTTTATAAACAAAACTAAAAAATCGCGTAGTAAATCCGAAAATATTCGTTTCATTAAAATGAGTAGATTCTCGCGAAAATCTTATATCTCAAAATTCAAGAAATTACATATTATCCAAAACTTTTACAATAGAATTAACATTAAATGTACATAATGAAGTTTGCTAAAGTTTTTTATTTGCTCAAATAATACGTATTATAGGGAATAGTAAGTAAATGTTTTAACTATAGATAACGGTTTAAATAACACAGTTATTTATTTGTTTGCACATAAAAATTGCTTTTAATAATAATAAATAATTTTATATACACAATTTACCTATATAATGTAATTTAAATATTTTTTTTCGATTCGTCGAAATATTTGCATTTTTTATATTACTTTCAGAGCTCGAAAGAGAAAACTTGTTGCAAATAACAACGTCAACAAAACCGTTCATATTAAAAATTACATTTGTAAATACAAGTTCACTCGTATATTTAATTGGCACGTTCCGCGCGTTCTGAATTTATACTCCTTAAAAATTCCTTCTTCGTATTGTGGCCAATTATATTAATTTTTATAGCTATAAAAAGTATCATTATCTTATTATCAAAACAATGTTTAATATTTGAAGTATTCTTGTGTATTTGTTATGTCATTTCTAAATCAGCAGTAGCCAAAGCCGAAGTTAAATAATGAACATAATAAAAGTATAATCCGGAACAATAAAACTAATTAAAGTTTACATTAGTTTACACAAATTTTTTTGAATAGATTATACAAATATAACTTTAATACTTATAAAAATAAAGGAATGTAGCTTTTTAGTACATATTTAGCAGTGAAATTCTTTAAATGTCTTAGTGTAGTGTTTACCTTACCCTTAGTTCTTTTGTTATCATGTAAGCAATAATGTAAATACCTGTAATGGTGTATCACACTGAACAAGTTTATTTTTTTATATTTTTTTTTCAACATATAGTTTGTGAATATGCCGATGGTATTTCAGAAATAAAAAAAAAAAGAATAAAAAAAAAAAGAAATTTAATATACAATTTTCGTTAAATGAGGTATACTATGGATAATATTTTTCAAACCATATCTAAAGGTAAACGTTTTAATTCGTTTCTCCTCCCCGTTTTAATTCGTTTCTCCTCCATTTCTCGACTTCGCATGACCCCGTAAATATTTTTGGTTTGGTTTTTTGTTGTACTCCTTCCTGCAATTTTTCTTATTTACTTTTGGTTGTTTTCAAGGCTAACCAGGCGTATTCAGACAAAAAAAAATCAAGCAGTCAAATTATTACGAATTGATTTCCACTTACGAATATGGCAACAATTATAATAGGTGACAGTATTGAAAACATAAAATCTTATCTACCCTCAATGTTGGTTCAGCGTTTACTTCAAAAAATTTATCACTCGTTTTGTACATAACGAAATGTTTTGATAAATATTATTAACTGCTAGCTATATATTTAACAAGTAAGTCAGATTTATATTTAAGAATTGTCATAAAACCTAATTGTTATTAATAATACATTCATCCATAATAAAAAAATATGATTACATCACTGAGTAAGTAACAGTAAGGCAGTGTGTGAGTTTAAATGTATCCGCATTATAACAAAGCGTATATAAAATCTTCTTATAACGATTTGAAGTGCCAAACCAAGTACAAATCTACCAGTGAACAGTGGGTTTACAGCCGCGGGGCGAGACGACCACAGCATGGTGGTTAGCTGGTGCTTCGATGGTGGTCATCACTGTCGCCACGGTGGTAGGCAACAGTGCCGTGATGGTAGCGTTGTGGCGCGTGAGGCGAGCTCCATCACATTATCCGTTAATAAGCTTGGTAACAGCTGACCTGCTCGTCGGCCTTCTGGTTCAACCGCTGGGTGTTTTACGAGAACTTTATGTGTTTAATCTGAGTGAGTGAACTTGTAATATATTTTGTGTCATCTCATATAACGTAGATACTATTTTATTATGTAATATATAAAACTTCCATGTCACATTGTTAGTTACTGTACTCCTCCGAAACGGCTTTATCGATTTTTACCAAATTTTATATCCGTATTCAGTAGATCTGAGAATCGGCTACTATCTATTTTTCATACCCCTAAGTGAGAAGGATTGTGCACCTTAAATCTATTTCTTAATTTTTATACGTAATTTTTGTTTTTATTTTGTAAAATGTGGTTTTAAAAAAATATATAACCCTAAATTTATACTTTTTTATCACCAACTCCCATTTTTTTTAAATGGCAAAACAATGTTTGCCGGGTCAGCTAGTAATATTTGTAAGGTAAATGTGTTAAAGTTAAGGACTAAATGTATTAAAGTTAACTGTCGGAACAAATTTCTTGCTTTTGTTAACCATAACTTTTCCACCAGATCGTATTATCTGCGCATGCTGGAGTATAATGGATGTGTTATGCTGTACTGCTTCAATACTATCCCTCTGCGTACTTGGCTGGGAGCGATGGTCAGGTATTACGGCTCCTTTAGCAAGAGCTCGTAGAGCGAAGAGAGCGAAGCTGGTCGCAGGTCTGGTTTGGCCGGTTTCTGCTGTGATAGCGATACCTAACGCCCTTGTAAGATCTCATAAGCACTTCCATCCTGGTGAATTAGAAAAAGCCTGCGAGGTTAACACTAATACTGGGTCAGTTTCATATCATTTTTTATTACTATAATAATACAAACAAATTAAATGCAGGGGGAGTAATTGTGATAAATGTTTAAAAAAATTCAACATGAAAAAAGTTTTTAAAGGAGCAAATTTCTTATGAAGAGGCGATTAGCAAAACCTGCGAGAAGAGCTTCAATTAATATTAGATTGCCTGCAAATAGTCTTAAGCATTGAACTAATTAGATAACAATATGAATCATATAAATGTGTTTGTATTTCAGATATGTTTTCTTCAGTGTAACTCTATCGTTTTATCTGCCGGCGGTCGTGATGTTGATGCTGTACGGTTTCATCTTACGTGCTCTGTCTGCTCCTCCACCCGTGCGAGCACATCGCGGCCGTCCTTCAAATAATAGCCCAGGAGTAAATATTTGATACAAATAACTTATTTGGATTCTTATAATAATAGATTGATAACTGTTTTCAATTTTCCAGAAAGCTGTAACCTCAGAAATCAAAACTCAACCAGGATCCGCGATTGATAATAATCAGTAAGTTTTTGGAATTTATATTGTCGTAGATTTCTTCTTTATTACAAAATTTCATCCAATTCTTAGTCTTCAACATTTCTTTTCAGTAATTTATCTCCTAGAGGCTGTCATTTAAATCTGCCATCAAAAATTATTCAATGTACCGGTCCGGCAACAGGGAAATACAGTGCCCAGTAGGAAAACTATTATTTTTTCTTATATTCTTCTTAATATTTAAGGATTAATGAATCTCTTTAATCTTAGCGCTAGTTTCATCAGTCGTCAGCGTCGCGCTACACGTATCATCGTGATGTTGATGACGCTGTTCTTCGTCTGCTGGACGCCTTATTTCGTGATGCTACCATTAGGTAATAAATTTACTTGCTAATTGAACCAACAATTCTATTGAGATTACTGGTCGTTTACATCGTCATAAGATTTAAGTTAAGACATACATAATCAGATTTTTATTTGATGCTGATCTTAAAATTGAAGTACATCCTAATTATTGTATGATAACTCAAGTTATTGTAGAATTAAACGTTTTTCTGTCTTATTTAAATGAAACTAATATTTTGCGGATACCTATGCTACTTTATTTTTGAAAAAACTACATACTCCCGACGTTTGAGTTACTTTTCAGCAACAATGATCACGGGCAGACGAGATGTAGGTATGTATGTATGTATATTTTTCCGTTTTTCCCCAGATTCTCTCTACGACTGTGTGTATGACAGCGGTTGGTTGTGGTGTACGTGTTTGGGATACGTCAACTCATCTCTAAACCCTCTAGTGTACGCGGTGTCATCTCCTAGCGTGAGGAGCGCCCTCCGTTCCTCACTTACTAGCAGTGGAAGGAACGACGTGGGTTTAACTAGGAGGAATTAATGTACGTATATACATAATTACCCCTGACTTTGTTTGCATTTTTGATATTTTTTCAGATTTAAATGAAACTAATATTTTCGGATTTACTACGTGTTTTTTATATTTGACTATAAATTACATATTCCCGTATAACTATAACTGTGATCACGGTTATTGTAAAGTAGCCGAAACGTCGGGAGAATGTAGTTTATATTCAAAAATAAATCGCGTAGTGAATCCGAAAATATTAGTTTCATTTAAATGAGTACTTGCAAAAATCTTAGATCTCATTTTCTCAGATTAACGCCATGAAGTCCTAGCTATCATTAATTACTTTATTAGAATCTATAATATTATTTCAAACATACATCCAATTTTAATTAACTAGTTATATTCTTATTGCTTAACTTTTTTAATTAAAATAATAGACGAGAATAAATGAAACAATATTATAATAAATATATTTTATTTACATTCGAACAGCTCTTGAACATCTCTTTGGCATGATCTACCCATTCATAAAACGCTGGAATAAAATTGCACTCAAAAAATACTGTCAGGGGAAGAAAAATAATCTACTCTTAATGAATTACACAACAAATAACAGAATAATATTATATACAACTTATTATAAACTTTGAAAACGAAACGAACGAATCGAATACACACGTATACAACTCGATCGTATTATAACAATGAATACATTTGCAAATGTTCGCAATCTTAAATAATTTGATCCAACTAATTATTAACATTGTATAAAGATTTCGAATTTATTTTCATATATGATGGTATTGTTACAGAGAACAATCACCAATGAATGTATCGTATTTAATGTCGTATCAAAATGGCGGCGATAACCAAAATGGCGGCGAGTGGGGGGGTGATGGCGCTGGCTCCACCGAAATCCCTCGCGTCAGGAGAACACGTCTTACAAGTACAACGACCGGCAAGACAATAGCCCGGCTCGTCTTCTTCAGATACGCATTCCTGTTAATAAATTAATTTGTTTCGTTTATTTAATAAATATTTTATCTTTGCACATTTCTCTCTTTATTTGTACCTAAATTAGAATAGTTTTTTAAAAATTATATTCTATGAAATTATAACATTAATGCCAGTGTGTGTATCAGTGTAATATTTTGTAAAGTAACATGGACCCATAACACACAAAAAATGCAATTTATCCTTCGTCTGTGCTCCAAATGATCAGAAATTGTATAGAAATTTTTGGTTCATTTATTTCCAAACCAAGATAGCTTCAAGCTTTTAAATTAAACCTAGAAAACTCTGAACGGACAAATTTAGTCTCATTCCATCAAACCGTTGCAATTCCAATACCCTAAGTTTTGGTACTAGCAGAAATCGTAAATTAATCTGAATAATAGACATAAAAATACCATTAGATCGAATCATGTATATCTACCTCATCCACATCACACTCCTGGCCAGGCCTCTTCCTCCTCCAACATTTAGGCGGGTTCCCGACGGCCCGCGCGTCGTATGAACACGAGCAGGCCCCGCCAAGACACAGGGCCGCGGGGACCTCGCTCCCAGATAACGATTCACACTGCACGTCATACTGACACTCCTCGTTTAAAGCCGTCGCAGCTGTATGAAGAAATTTAATATTGTTATGACAAAAAACTGATTTATCTTCAATATATGCCTTTATTTTTAACCAGACATAATATTTGCCAGTTGAAAAGAAGCTTAAGTGACACAAATTTTGATGCATCTGTACCATGGTGTTATATGTATGTATATATATTACTAAACATGATATTTGCAAGTTGAGTTGAACCAATTAAGTTTCAGTGACACAAATATTGATCTGTTTGTACCAAAATTTGTTAAATTTCAAGAAAAGACCTTACATTCAACACAAGCGTTGATATCAGTATGTGCGACCCAACCAGGTCTACAACGACAGGTCCCTCTGCACTGCAGGCCTGGGCCCGCGCACTGAAGTTCGTCCTCGCAGGCCTCGCCCAGGGCTGCGTCACGGACACATCTAGGAAGAGAAGATTGTATTATTTAATATATATAGAAAGAAAGGAAAAGATTTTTTTGAGGCTCCATGGTCTTCTTGTGCTGAATGTAAGAAGTCTATCTGATCTGATAGAAAACGTTCCAAAAAACACCAAAATAACTATTCAGAAATAACAAAGAGTCAAAATATATACACTTCCATTTTTTGCCAGAAGTTTCTTAGATAAAAGACAATAAAAGTAATTTCGTCATGCAAAATTATTATATTAAAAATAATTGTATCTTTTGTTTCATTGTTACAAGATATTTTACGTTAGTTTCTTTGTCACAAAATATAAAGATAATATTCATTGTTAACTTTATTCGAACCTCGTTCCATTATCCCTGGGGCTATACTGCAGCTGGCAGGTGCAGTATCCTCTCACACAGAACGCCTCCCGCTCAGGACCTGGTTCACCCAAATAGCAGTTCTGGTCTACCACGCATCGTTCGCCGATTACTGAAAAAGAATATCATATACTTATTGTACGACGAATTTATAAGGAACCAAAAACCAAAAAATGTTTAAAATATATTTTAATTATACCTAAATATGTCAAAAATTGACTTTTCTAAGGGACATAAAAATTTTCAGATTGTATTTAAACTGACCTAAATAGAACAAAAATGTAATAAATATTTCAAACTGGCCTTGAATAGGCACATATATTAAAAATAGTGGATTATTTTATGATAAATTTAATATATTACCAGCGGTTTCGTAACAGCGGTCTGTCTCCAGGTGAGCGTTTTCAGCGCACGAGCAGGACCCGTTAGAACACTCGGAGTGGACACCCATAGTTGAGTGACATTGGATGTGTTGAATACACTCCTCACCGTTGCGAGCCTCTAGATATTACAAGGACTTCAATTATTAAACCTATTTACACTGTTTTCGTAATTTCTGGGATACTCATTTGAATTTAGGCTAACAAAAATATGGCAAAAAAATAACTTGTTTCTACCATACATATTTAATATGAGCAAAATAAGTAGGGGATTGCAATGAAAATTGTGTGATGGATTGGTAAATTGTAGTTAGTTCTGACTGACCCTTCAGACATCCTTTATGTGTGCTGTTAACAGCAGCGTAGACGAAGCTGTTCTTGCAGACGCAGTAACTGCTCTGACGGCAGAAAGCGTTGTCTGGACAGTCCAGATCCACACTACAGATATTGCCCGTCCTTCCTGGACAAATATTTACAAATATTATATGGAAGACATTTATGTATATTTTTGTTTCAAACTTGTTTTGGTAGAGAGAGGAGCTTGCACAGTGGAGGTTAGCGTCAGATAGAGGTCCCTTAAACCTACACCTGGGTCGCAAGCCCCTTGCACTGTTGAAGCTCCTCTCACTGCAACGCGATGGACCCTGAATCCGCACGGTGAATTCATAGAATGCTGAGAGGTTTCATCTCATAAGATGGTATAAATTCTTATTGTTTTTTTACTATGTCAAGATTACAAATATATAGCTATGAAGTCCTAACTTCGTAAAAATAACTTATAAAAATTAACGTAGCATTTTGAGAGGAATTAATCAGGTAAATAATATGGTTTCTTCAAAATATATTTCTAAATTACTTCGAAGCATATGTAATTCTAATTGTAAACTATTTTTAACAATAGTAGGCTATTATATCAGTGCATTACTTCATGACGCAATGAAAAAAAACAATGACAAGAATCTATTGTACCGTTGAGAGAATTCGGTAAAGTCATTTTAGGACGATTACAATACAAAATAAACTTTATTACCAACAACAAAGGTGTCATTTGTTTTGATACATATTGTTATAGATATAATTTATGTTCTCACAGATTATGTATTCACCTTGAAAATTATACAAAATGGAAGTTGCTTGTTAAGTCTTATTTATGTTGGATATTAAATTTGATCCTTTATATATATTGTATATGTCATGTCATATAAATACATAACACACCTTTTTGCGCTCTATTCAGATAAATTCCACGTAAAATCATTCTAGTATAATTGAATATATATTTCGGTTCATATTTCTAGAAGGTTCCAAACCAAATTTTTTTGTTTATTATTTTCCATTGAGAGTTCTTCTTACAATTATTCTATAACTTCATTAATTGATGTACAATATTATAAAAAAAAATTTATATAAAAATAATTTATACTTAATAGTCTTGTGGTTAAAATCCAAAATAAAGAAATGATAAAAGTTTTTTTAAGTCACTGTTTAGACTTCTAACTGGCCCATATTATGGACATTGGCAAAATTGTAGTAATTCCAATGCGAATGAAGCAATAGCACAAAAAGGCTTACATACATAAAGGTATATAATGTTGTACATAAGTATGGCACGTGGACGTAAAAACGTGTTGCTAGCAGATGCTACGGTTATCTTTTATTGATAAAATAAATAATTTCTTCGCACGTACCCAGTAGTCACTTATCAGATATCACTGTACTATCAATTATTATAGTGATTAAGATAAGAATGTCATCTCGTTTGTTCAAACAGTCAAGTTTGTATTTGTGACGACTGATCACAGTCAAGGTTCGTTATTTCGACATGGACCTTGTGATCGCATTGCGTTGTACACATTGTTAGCAAGTATGTACAAATTATATGTACAAATATTTTTGTACAATTCGTTAGTATTATTGAAAAACTTATTCGATAGTTCCGTATTATATTCAAATATTTGTTATATCCTTGTGGCGTATGTTTGAGGAATATAAATCAAATGCTTTTGTTGAAATTGCTGTAATAAAATCTTTGTTTACATTCTGTAATCTATTCCGCAGATTTTCTATATTAGCTGAGCCCAAAATAAATTCTCAGTTGACTTATCATTGAACATACTTTATCATAATTTAAGTGAAACCGAAAAGTCAAGAAAAATGTTTACTTATTGATTAGAGAAATATATTTTATTTTTGGTACCTGCTTTGAAAATTATGCTTAATTTAAGTAAAATAAAAATTATAAAGTAAGCGGTAAATTTTTATTAAGAGCGTCCAACGTCCTCATTAAAAATGAATAAAATTTTTAATGAAAATAACTGTTCATAGTAGTGACCGTAAGGTTGCAGATTTTGCGGTATTTTGTATAAAACTTGTTCTTAAATTGTATTTTAATTATATTAACTATATTTTTAATGATGTTTTATAAGGAAAATAATTAAGTAAAAGACGATGTATATTAAATAAATAAATAACGTGAAAATAAATCAGCATTAATAACGTGAAAATAACTTGAGCCTGTCAACAATTATTATTAAACCTCATTAGTATTCATGATTATTGTAAAAATTAAAATGAAATCAAAGATTGTTTAAAAGGAGAATAGAGCTATGTTTGAATTTTGGTATAAATATGACGTCTGGACGCACGAAAGCAGAGTTCAGTGAGTGCGGACCATACAAGAGTGTGATTATGAAGAACCTTCGAGAAATACAGGAGCATTAAGAACAATTGAAGTTTCATTTAAAAATATCATGGAACGTAAAAAAAGAAGTGACATTAGTGACGTCAGTAAGGCTGGCGTCACACTCTCTTTAAAAAAAAACGAATTTGTATTAAATCCGATATATACTTTACCAAATACACATATTGTCAATTTAAGTATATGGCATATACCTAGTATGTTTAATACAAGGCACGTTAACAGTTTTTTCGTTCGTAAATCTTATTAACGTAGATTATTGAGTGAAAAAACGGAATACCCTACGTATGAAGACTTGTGATAAGCTTGTGTCCTAGTTCCTCTCTTGATAACATAATCAGTTCGACACACTTTTAATATAAGGTAAGCATACTTTAAAATGATACACATAGTTTAAAAAAATAGGCTCACAAAGGTAAAGTTTTTTATTGAAAATAATGTCGTTTGGTTAATTAGTTAGCTTGGTTAGAAGTATGTGGAAATTATGATATTCTTATTTATTCATATCTTATAAAAAGAATTGTTCAAAAAAAATACTTTTTAATTTTTTTTGTCATGTATTATTTAAAATCGTACCTAATTAGATTTGCAACAAAATTATTGATAGTGTTATCAGAAAGACAGAATTGATTGAAATTATCCTAACTACATATATATGTCTTTGGTTTTTAAACTACTGTCCCAATTTTAATTGGATTATGTCATAATATGTGGATATAACACAATACTCTTTATTTCCGAAGTCGGTTATTACCTTCAAAATAACATCCGTAAAAAATTACATAAAATTTTACTATTTTTTAACCAAGAAAGTTGAAATTTGATACGTAACAATGAATGCTTTCTCTTGTAATTACAAAGAAAAGAAATCTTCAGGATGGTACGTTCACTATTATATTAGTATGAGTTTTGTTATATTTTGTTACGTACACTTCCTAGTTTTTTACGCTAAATTAATGGTTGCTAAATTAATTGATCAGTTTTTTACACGGGTGATAGTGTGACAAATACGATTAGGCTATCGTTACTTAAGATGTGACTGTTTCGGAAGAGCAAAAGAAAAAAAAGTGGACGAAATTTTTTTTCTGTTATAATGGTCTAAGTTTTTAATTTTATTTTGTCTTATAATATATAATTAAGTTTGTTCAAAAATTATACCACGTTATAACTTATGGCAGAGCGTTAAGAATATGGTAAAATAATAAAAAAAATATACATATATGACACTTTAAAAAAATCAGCTTTTTCTTTGGTCAATTTGTAACTGTCATATAACTCAGAATAAAAATGACTAGAAGGAACTATTTCTTAACCAGAAAATATAAGATGAACTGTCATTTTAAAATAAGACTAAATTTTTACTCAATCTTTCAGCACTTTCTCAAGGTGGTAGAGCCTAGCTGTAGTCAATTTACTACACCTCGAACATGGGCTGGCTCGACCGGGGAAGTACCACCCTCTCACAGAAAATCGGCGTAAAGTAGTCTTTAAAGGCTGCGTTTCGTCCGGTGAGTGAGAGAGCCGGTTGCCCTTTCCCTTTTCCCAACCTTTCCTTTCCCTCCCTTTCCCACTTTTTCCCCCTTCTTTTCCCCAATCAAGGGCGGCAACACATCCGCAAATCCACGTTGCGGATGTCCATGGGCGACGGTACCTACCTACCATCAAGAAGGCCGTCTGCTCAGTTGCCCCCTTTTCCCATAAAAAAAAAAAAAAAAAAAAAAAAAAAAAAACTTTCATTTATAAGTTTACATCGGCTTCACAAATAATTCTAATCAATATTATGTATATAATATATAATATAGAAAATTACTTATATTAAACATATAGAAATTGACGCGACTCACGTGCCAAAGCACCTTATATAACAATCATTATAACATGAAATAATACTTTTTTTTGTATAATAATCTAAATTAATATAATGACTTACTTTTCTCCGGACCCTGGGCGGTCGCAAGGCCCGTAAGGGTTATTACACACAGCCCCCAAAGCAACATCCCGTGGAGCACTTCACCTCTGTAACGAATATAATTAATTAAAATCACGAACTCCTCTCAGATACATGATAAGATAATATTATCTAGACTTCAGTGATTAATTACGAGATAGGAAAAATACCGTCACGAGATGAAGGGCTAGGGCCTCGCTTGGTGTAATGATTTGTAGATGACAGATAAGTTATATCATTAGCGTATACCATAAATATAAATTAGAACGACAACTGATTGAAATGGAATTGGAATTATTCCATTTGGTCATACAACTGTTTGGTTTTATATAATTTTGTGATAAATTTAATTTTCATGTTTCAAATGAACTAAAGCTATGTTTGGCTTGACTAGCAATAGTATTTTAAGAAAAAATTTTGTACACTGAGTGAGTGGTCCAAACTAAATGTAATTGAACTAAAATATTATCGATATATTTAAATCAAGCAATTACAAGCTTCAAACAGAGTGCGACATCTTACACAATACAAGAAAAAATCGTGACGAAAAATACCGAATCACGGTCAATCGTGACCGGATCATTGGAGGAATTAACAGTTTAACTCGTACAGAGATTATCGGTTTATATAACTATTAAATCATAACTATATCCAGAGTATAACTCTTTTAAGACGTTTATTTCAAATATAACTTTCTTTACGGAGAGTACATACATTTGCCGTAAGACATTCTTGAAATTAGAACTTTTTTTACGGATGATCTTTTATGGTTTTTTTTTTGACCATATAAGACGTTCAAAAAATTCTTTCCTTTTAAGAATTGAGATTTTTCTTATAAGTTATTCTTTCAATTGGAACTTTTTGAAAGATTATTAGACCTTACCTACAAGATTTTTTTTCAAATCGTTTTTTTTTACTTCTATTTTGAATTTTTCCAAATATTTCATTTTGCCTCACTAAGTAATACTTTTAATATTTTTATAATCCACTATTCTTGCGTACTTTATAAACTTATTTTTGTCTATATCTATAGAAAATAATCTTAAGGTAACGTTATACTTTCATCTCGTCTGTCCGTGATCACGGATGCTGTAAAGTAACCGAAGCTTCGAGAGTATGTAGTTTTGAAATAATAAAAATAGACGTAATAAACCAAAAATATAGTTTTATTTAAATTAATACTCGTAAAAGTCTTAAATCTTATTAGTATTGTATTTTTTTTTTGTAACATGAATGGTTGGTAGTTAGATGTAAGTCCACATTTGCTCTTGATAGGATTGACACAAATAATTTACAAAAAACATATATCAGGAAAAACATATCTGAAAAAAATCTTTACAAAATCTAGGACAAAATCGTAAAATTTATATCGTAGTGAGATAAAAACTATTCAAATAAAATTACTGTCAGGAGATCTTTTTATCTGTAATGTAAATACTTGATAAAAGATAAGATATTTTTGACAAATAAATCCTATTATATTATTAAATTAATTTAAATAATTAAGCACAACCCTGACTGTATTGGATAGTGGTTGAAACAATTCTCTTTGTTAGTATTTAGCGAGCGTGACATATGTTACCTGTTTTATGTATAAAAATGTACATCCATTGAGAGTATCGGTCACGCTGTACGATTATGGAAATACGATATCATTTAATGTAATTAAGACGAACATACGAATATACAGATGTTTTAAAGTAGGGGCCCCTTAAAGCTATACCTGGGTCGCAAGTCCCAGGCACTGTTGAAGCTCCTCTCACTACAACGATGGACCCGACACCCGCACGGTGAATTGTATGCTAAGAGGTTTCGTCTCTAATTAAATTAAAATAATATCCCAATTATTCGAATAATATAAAATCGATTCGCGTCCTCTATTTTCATGGCTTTATTAATATTTGAAATGTTAAGAAGTGTATACAATACCAACAATTTCTCACGACGAGAATATGTCATTAGTTCAAGAAAATTATATTGACATTTTATTTTTATTTTTAATTAAGTCTTATCAGTGTGTTCTACCAATATCCTTATTAAGGTTTTTTTATTTAAATGAAGCTAATATTTTCGGATTTACTGCTCGTGATCACGGTTGCTGTAAAGTAGCCGAAACGTCGGGAGTATGTAGTTTATAGTCAAAAATAAAAAACGCGTAGGAAATCTGAAATAATTAGTTTCATTTAAATGAATACTCGAGATAATCTTAGATCTTATTAAGGTTTTTTATGTCAAATATTCATATCATTTCTCAATAATTTATCAATATATTCAGTCTTATTGTTTCAAATATCTCAATAATATTTCCTATGATTTCAAATTAATATCAACTAAACTGTTCTTGGCTCGCCATCATTTTCATACAATATCTTATGTTTCCGTCAAAATGTATCCTTAGTCCTAGTTTATATCATTACACTAAATTTACTTACAAATGTGTATTTTTAACTTAAACACAATAATACTTGAAGCACTACATTCTTTAAAGCTAACCCTATTATAGTTGAAGCGATTAAATGACAAAAATACACACACTATCTGTGTAAACCCAATATACTTACTACAAGTTTGTACTACATATGTAATCGTTTCTCGTCACTAAATTACTTCAATACTTAACGTGTATAAGTGTGCGTTTAACGCGCGTTAGATAGTCCTATAAACCTACACCTGGGTCGCAAGTCCCAGTCACTGTTGAAGCTCCTCTCTACAACGATGGACCCGACACACGCATATGAATACATGGAATATATAGTTTCGTGTATATTAATGAAAAACTGTTGACGCTACGTAAAAACTGTTACACTCGTGTTAAGTTAACTCACTTGTATTGCACAAATCCGATTTGCTTAACACGCAGAAAGGTCACTCACGTTTAAAACAAAGCATCATGATATATTCATGTAATCAATGTATAAAAGTCTTCTTCATTTAGCACTAACAATATATGAATGTGAAATAATCGTTTAAAATGGTATTATCTTATCATTGTGGCGACTTCATTGATTAGTCACTTTATAAACGGGAATGTGACCTACCTAGGCCAAGTTTCACCAAACTCTGTTTGTTAAATCTAAACGAGTCGTTTACTAACGAACGTTTAATAATATAATTGTCTGTTAAAATATTTTGGTTCCACGATGAAAAATTAACAACGCATTAGGAAGCGTTCAAGTACCTATTAATTAACACTATTTTCATAGATTTTTGACCGCCCCCCTCCACCCCCTTGTAAATCGTAACGTTTTATGTACCCCCCCCCCTTCTCTAAACGGTACGTAACACTCAAGTGATTACTTTCATCCTAAATTCGTAAAAAATTATGTAATAGTTTTGTATAGTTTAATCAACTAAATGAAATAAGATCACTGATACAAATCTCCCCCTTCTGAAGAAATTACAGTATGAAAACTATGAACTCACGGATAAACACTAACGAATACTGACCACGGAACCAACATTACATGACGTAGAATACAGTCCCGGCATTCCCTGTAAAATATTAATTTAAGAAGTTTGAAAACTTGCGAGAACAAATGAAAAATCTTTCGATTGTATTAGTCTGGTTGACATAATGTAACGTATATGAAAAGGGTTGCCAGTTTGGGGGTTTTAATTCATTAATTTCTTTAGAAACAATGCTACGTAATGTTTTATGAGAAACACCCCCTCCCTCAACTGTAACTCATCGTAACTTTTTCGAGATCCCCCCACTCCCCAATTGCGTTAGGTAATACTTTAACGCTCCGTTAATCAACAAGTGACAATTGCTTGTTTATAGATTAAGGAGACCTTATACACATACCTTACTAGAAGTATCCTTAAAAGTACCTCTGTGACGTGACAAATTTAAATAGTGACGATAAATGGACCACACTTAACAAAAATGTTCAAATGTTACTAATTATCCTTAGCAAGAGTATTAAATGGATACGACAAACGGAGCGTTAACAGTTTCTCATTCATTAAATTTACCACTTCACTCACAGTATTAATGTAGGTTATTGTGTAAACGGGAATCGTATGTAGTGTGACCTACAACACTTACTATTAGTAGTTTTTCCATAGCAGAGTAATTAAATAAGGTGCTTACACTTTATTCATGACTTTTCTTGTAATAAGAGAACTATTGTTATTAAGCTAGTTATTATAGTACAAAGATTATAATCGTTAAAATAAATTAAGTATGCCATTATATTCAATGTGTTCAGTACAAAAAATTCTTAACATCACTGTAAAGAAATCTTTTATTATGTTTAATTTAGAAGTATTAAAATAATTACTTCGTATTATGTATTGAAAATAAATTTCTTTAAATGTGCTTAAGAGACTTTTCTGTTACAGTTTTTGTTTCTAAGGATAATTTCTTGACGTTGGAAGGAGTATTTACGGTAATATTATTATATGTATGTAAATGTTAGTTTCATTAAAAACCTTATTTAGTAAGTCGCAATTATATAGGATGCACGGACGCATAAAAGATGCAGTTGCATTGACCTTGGACGACTGTTCTAGAATCTATTACATATGTATGTTACAATCTACAGAGGTTTTATATAAATAATTTATTTTAATTGCAATTATAATTTCGTCCTGGCCGAATAGAAATTTTATGTCAAAATAATAAAAAAAAAATTGTCACATAATACGTGTAATACAAATTAATGGATGATCTGGAATTATATTTCGTAATTGTAAAGTAAGTTATATTTTAAATGTAAAATTGTAGTTCAAACTATAGTATATGTATTTCAAGGAATGGTTTAATAATAGTTTTCTTTCCCTACACGTCCGTCAGACCGCCTTGGAGGTCAAATCAATATGACCTAAGAGACAGTTAATACTATGTGCGTGTCAAGAACTCACTTGTGCAATGAAAATGCTTGGGAGGAATACAAATTGGTGATTTGACTCATCGAAATTTCTATACTCTTTCTCATACATTTCACAAATAAGTTAGAAACAGGATTCTCTTACAAACCTTATAAGTATACGCTAATTTTATTTAGGTATGCCATTCGTTTGAATGCCAAATAGACGTGTGAGCAAAACTTAACTGGTTATAAGTCGTAAATCTATTAATACGTTTAACGTTTCGCTCAAGATTCCATGTCGGATGTGGGCCACTCGTACGAAAAACAGAACCATCAGACATATATCGCCATCTTAAGATACATCGAATCATTGACCGACTGACCGACTACTCCGAAACACGTTATTGTATATATAAAACATAAAAAAAATATTCCGTT